CCTAACGGAGGAGGCCATGGCCAAGAGCCCATACTGCATGGACAAGCCGCTGAGCTTTTGAAAATGCAGTTGGTTTCAAAGGGTCCGCACCATGTCTTTTTTGCCCAGGACTGCCATCAAGAATTGCATTGCGGCTGCCAAGACATGCCCAAGCAAATTCATCAAGCCAGTGCCCTGAGCACAGCTTGCAGTGGACAGCCTGTTTGGAGCGCTGCAGGCCGCACCCCTACAAACCCGGGGTCGACAGATACTATGTTGAGCTGAAGCTTTCCGGACACTCCAAGCAGCCCAGCTTGGATCACATGTTTGAGTCTAGGTGGGAAAACAGAGCCTCTACACAGCTGCCACGATTGTACGATGGCTCGGTGGGAGGGGCCAATGACACCATCAGGAACCAGACGGTGGAAAGGACGACGGCTCCGACGGTGCTGGATGGGGTCCAAGCTCTTCATTGGCTACATGCGGCAGCTGCGGAGGGACCCCCCTCTCAGGGTGCCACTGGCCCCGAGAGGGGGGTCGTCAAACCTCCACCTGGGGGCTGGCTATGGCCGGCGCCGGGCACCAGGTGGGTGCTGCTCAAGGCGGACGTCACCAAGGCCCACCGGAGAGTGAAGGTCCTCAGGAAGGACTGGCGGTTCCAGGTGGCCTCACTGGGGGAAGAATGGTGGGTGAACAAGGTAGGCACATATGGCATGGCCAGTGCCCAATCCTACTGGGGACGCCTGGCAGCCCTTCTACTCAGGGTCCTCTACGCACTTTTCCCTCAAGTAGATTGGAACTTCGTCTTTGTCGATGACTTCCTGTGGCTGCTTCGAAGCGAGGGGGCAGTAAACTTGGCGGTGGCGCTGCTGGCAACACTCCTGGCCTTGGGCACCCCGCTTAGCTGGAAGAAGACGCATTTGGCGGAGGTTAACACATGGCTGGGTTTCGTGGTCCACCCGAACATCCCGCAGGTTCTCATGGCAGCCAACAAACACATCCTGGTTATGGAGGTTTTGCAGACCATGGTGGAAGGGCAGGCGATGCACTCAAAGGACATCGAGAAGGCCCTGGGTCGCATCCAATGGGCGACGGCTGCATGTCCGCTGGCGAAGTCGATGCTCCAGCCACTTTGGGCCTGGAAGATGGCCACCACCACGGTGGGGAAGCCCCCCAAGGTGGTCAGGATGCTGGCGTTCATGCTGCGGTTCCTCTTCAACACGCCTTTCGTCCAGTACTCCCCTTACTTGCCGAAGTCCTCATGGTGGGGTTGCAGCGACGCTAGCGCCTCGGACGAAGGACTGGCATTTGTGGGAGGTTGGTGCTCCAACAAAGTGGAGCCGGACAAGAAGGAGGTGTACTGGTTCCACGAGCAGATCCACGTGGAGGAGTACCCTTGGGCTTTCAAGAATGGGGATCCCAAGCGGAGGATTGCGGTGGAGATGCTGGGCACTCTTCCTCTGTAACATGATCCTCACGCACCAAGGCCCTCTGTCCTCCCGGGTCCGACTCCCGGTGGGCAGTGACAATCAGGGCAACGTCATGGCGATGCTCAACCTTGGATCCAAGAAGCCCTACACGGCGGCGATCTTGATGGAGCTGGTCTTCCTGCTCCACACCCATGGCTGCTCGCTGGCGGCCAGCCACGTGCCCCGTGAATTCAATCAATGGGCTGATGAGCTGACGCACCCAGATTTTTCTGGGTTCGACCCTTTGCAAAGGGTCCCCAAGCAGGAACTCTGCGAGGAGTTCGTTTTTCTCCCGCGTCTCCTGAATGGAGACGCATTTGACCTTAGCGCGGGCCCACCCATGCTCCCGTGACCGGAGCCGGTGGGCGACTCACTTCCCCTGGTGGCAGACCCCCCTGTGGCCTGGGTGCCACGGGCCCCGGCTCAGGGGCGGGCGCTATCAGTCTGCACACCCGTTCTTCAGTTTTTGAGATTGTGAGTTGGGTGGCCCATGGGGCCCACCCAGCCTTTGTCATCTGACAGGGGAAGATGAGTCCCTGGCACCAACACACTGCTCGGATAAAGGAGTTATCGCGTGCTTGTGTGTGGTGCCGTTTGGTTAGCTTGCGTACACTATCTATAGTTTGGGATTGGCAGAATATGGAACAGACTCAGAACATATTATTTTCTGTGTGGGGGGCTGTCCTGGGATTTAACTGGGGCAGTTCCCGAATCAGACTGGGCTTGAACCCCCAAGTTGGGCGTTGGGCTGCGCGGGCTCGAGCCAGGAACGGGGCAACACAATTCCGCTGCCAGAAACTCCCAGCTGAAGTTAGCCATCTCGTGGCGAATCATCGCCTTGCAAGAAAGGGAGAGAGGGTCCAACGCAAGCTTGTAGTCTTGCGGTCCATGGCGCAGTTTTTTGAACACCCTCGTCTAAGGGGCCGTTGGGATTGATTTTTGTTCCTGCACATGTGTACCTGCCCAGCGGAACAAGCTGCTGCGTTGCGCTGTCGCCGGTCTTGAGTGTCCGCAGCAAATGAAGCGTCGCTTTCTGAGGCTTGCCTTTGGAGGTCAGCGGCTAGACCTCTCATCTACGTTGAATGAGGTCTGCGTGCATCCCGTTAACTTAGCCTCCACAGCTGAGGCATTTGCCCTTCATGTCACAGGCGGCTCTGTGGTGACTTGGGGGAATCCTGGCTTTGGCGGTGACAGCAGCCTAGTGCGAGAGAATTTGGTGCGCGTCCGGGCCATCCAAGCAACTCGGGGTGCCTTTGCTGCCATCCTGGACGACGGCACTGTGGTGACTTGGGGCCATCCTCTCCTTGGCGGTGACAGCAGTCGGGTGCGAAAGAAGTTGGTGTGTGTCCGGGTGATCCAAGCAACTCGGGGTGCTTTTGCTGCCATCCTGGACGACGGGTCTGTGGTGACTTGGGGCGATTCTACATCTGGCGGTGAAAGCAGCCAGGTGCTTGAACAGTTGACGCGCGTCCAGCAGATCCAAGCAACTGATTCAGCTTTTGCTGCCATTCGGGACGACGGTTCTGTGGTGACTTGGGGCAATCGACAGGCTGGCGGTGAAAACAGGCAGGTGCGAGATCAGTTGGTGCGCGTCCAGCACATTCAAGCGACTCGGGGAGCTTTTGCTGCCATTGTGGAGGACGGCTCTGTGGTAACTTGGGGCGTTGGCGGTGGCAACAGCAGCAAGGTGCGGGAGCGGTTGGTGCGCGTCCAGCAGATCCAAGCAAGCGCGAGATCCTTTGCTGCCATTTTGGACGACGGCTCTGTGGTGACTTGGGGCCATCCTGACTGGGGCGGTGACAGCGGCGAGGTGCGAGAGCAACTGGTGCATGTCCAGCAGATCCAAGCTACTTCTGTTGCTTTTGCTGCCATCCTGGGCGACGGCTCTGTGGTGACGTGGGGCGATCCTTTTTTTGGCGGTGACAGCAGCAAGGTGCGGGAGAAATTGGTGGGCGTCCGGCTGGTCCAAGCAACAAATGGAGCTTTTGCTGCCATCCTGGACAACGGCTCTGTGGTGACTTGGGGCCATGGTGACTGGGGCGGTGACAGCTGCCAGGTGCGTGAGCAGCTGGTGCGCGTCCAGCAGATCCAAGCAACTGCTCAAGGTGCTTTTGCTGCCATCCTGGACGACGACTCTGTGGTGACGTGGGGCGATCCTGACATTGGCGGTGACAGCGGCGAGGTGCGAGAGCAGTTGGAGGGCGTCCGGCAGATCCAATCAACTGCACAGGCTTTTGCTGCCATCCGGGACGACGACTCTCTAGTGACGTGGGGCGATTGCAGATTTGGTGGCGACAGCAATGGCATCCAGACCAGCTTTGCTGGGCTAGCCTTTGGCGTCAGGTCAGCGCATGAAAAGCGTAGTCTCGGGCTTTTAGAGCTATGCGCCGAGAATCCTATGGTGCATGGCCAACCAATGAGGGACATCCCAAAGATGGTGGTTGACTACCTATCTATAATTTAGAATTGGCTCAACATGAAGGAGAGTCAGAAAGAATATATGTTTTTCTTTGTGCCCCAGATGTGGGAGGTTTGGGTGGGACGAGAAAAAGAACAACTCACGCAAATACCAAGCCGGTTTCGAGGTTCCCCACTTTTGATTCGGAAAAATCTGGGCTTGAATCCTGAACTGTGGCGTCGGCCAGTTGGGCTCGGCTCAAGCCAGGAACGGGGCAACAACAGCATTCCGCTACTAGAACTCTCAGCAATCAGCATAAGGGGAAAGCGGGTCAAGCCATGTGGCCTCACAACAGGTTCGCTGTCCAAAGCTTCGATCCCACAGCCCCCTTAGACGAGGGTTCAATCAACTGCGCCATGGACTGCGAAACAAACATGTTCCGCGGGTTTTTTGGCTTTAGACCTATGTAAAGGTCAGGCTGGGTGGGAAGTGGAAAGCGGCTCCTATGGGACCCCTAAATCAAAATTGTCAAGATCAAACTATGCCGACTCCTAAATGGGACTCCAAGGGTGGCAAAGTTAAAAGGAACCCCTAGATTTGAATCGGGGTTTTCGAGCGCCTAACGAGGCTTAGGGTTCCGTTCCTTGTGCCTTTGTTGCGGGGTCAATCCGAATCCTGTTTGGATTCCCTGCTTGGCAGCTGCTGCATTTCGAGGGGGGTTCAAGAAAAAATGGGTTTGGGCAAGGTTTCCTCAACCATCATTTTGAGGGAACTTGGGCTTCAAAGTTGGTTCATAGTTGGTTGCCCGTTTTGTTCAGTTTCTACCAAAAAAGTCTACATATGTATTATCTACCTGGACCCTCAAACTACCCACAAAAAAGTTGGACATCACCCACCATAAATTTTGTTGGCAAAGTGAAGGGAGTTGCTTCAAATCCCGGTGTTCTGTTTTTTAGCCCCCCCCCCCCAACAAAAAAGAGAACAGCAAAACAGACATTGCCCCAAAATGATGGTGGGTGATGTCCCTTTGTTCATGGGTAGTTTCCTAAACCAAAATGGACATTGCCCCCCAAATGTGGTGATTTCCCTTTGTTCATGGGTTGGTTCATCCTCGGGTCCAGGGAATGAACCTCTGGCCCATCTGGCTTTCTGAGGCCGCGTTGAGCACCCAGCCCTTGGCGGCAGCGGCGAAGGCCTGTGCCATCACCGAGCAGGAGGAGGAGACGGGGCCCCCGAAAGCTCCAAATACGACGGTGAAAGCTACCCCTACACCCAAGACCTACATATTTCAGTTGGTATGATTTGTCGAGCCTTTACTACAAAAAGGGATCGGCGTGTGGCATGGAACACTGATCGATCGGTTTCTCTCCAAACATGCCGTATTTGGAGTAGGAGGTCCTAGGCGGCACAAGGCACAAGGCGGCAGGTCCCAAAAAGGATTGGTCTCGGTTTATTGTTGTTTTTTGGTGAAAGGGTCTGGTTGGTTTCTGTCTGGAACGTCCTTGTAGATGCCTGGCACAGGAGGTCTGCTTGGACCCAAAGATTGAAATTCTCCCATGATGTTGGGGCACTTTGGGGCAATAACCCCATGTTGAAGGGTACTTTGAGGGTCTAGGTGGATGCTTAGCACACTGGGGTTTGTTTAGGTGACTTAGATGGTTTCGGAATTAGCAAAGTGGTTAGCAGCCTTGGTTGCAACCCGCTTACGGTTGTAAGTCCCCTGCAAGCCAGGGCTCCTAAGGGGTTGATCAAAAGGGTCCGATGAACATGGAATGACCATCACGGAAACCACCAAGATCGCCCCCATTCAGCTGCCCTCCCACCAGCATGGAGGTGCCAAAAGGCCCACTAACCAAGAGGAAGGTCGTCTTTCTACAGGGGTCTGTGCACAAAAATTCATGTCACATGGTTGCTGTTGGGAAGCATTTTACATTTTGGCTTGTTGTGGTTGAGTGGTTGAAATCCAAGTCCACTTGAGTGCTAAAATTGGAACATGCTTGCTATTGTTTGCTCCCCAAACCCAAGGTCAAGCGAGAGTATCGCTGGTGGGAGGGTAAGTCGCTCCCTGAGGACTTGGTGGCTGCCTTCTGGTCCCAGCTCTGGCAGTTTCTGGGCTGGTACAACGCCCTGCAGCTGGCTCCTCCGCTCACGAGTCGGGTGATTGGAATTCTCGCCTCCGTCGCACTAGGTCGACGTTTGATGACGTTTGGTTAAATCCAGGGTTGTGGGATCAAGGGGTTTCTCCCCACTTCTGTGATACAAGGGAATCCCCCTTTATAGGATGAAAATAGTCTTTGGGAAGCCCTTTCTGTTGTATCACAGAAGTGGTCATTCCCCACAGCCCTTGGTTAAATCCTTTTTTGGTCCATGACGTCCCCAGATGAATCAACCCCAGTTCATGAGTATGGGGGGTGTTCCCTCCGAAAGTGGATTAAACTTCTCCACTAAACCCAGCTGCGGGGTCAGCATAGTCATAGCCCCCACGACGTGATCACCTATTTCCGGATGCCGCTAAGATGGGGACCCCGAAATACGCAAGTGAGCCGTGTTTCTGGTATGTTTCAGGTGCCCCCGCTCCATCGATCGGATGTGCCCAAAGTTAGCTCGTAACATGGTGTGGTCCCCCAACAAAAACCTGAACAAAGCGGGTATTTTGAGTAGGGGGTATGTCAGATTGCTGATATTTGTTGGTCCGCTGTGGCTTGCCCTTTTTTCTGGGCCAACTTGGCTTTGGACCCTCAAACTTCGATTGGTCCATTTTTTGCCAGCAGCCTTTGTCATGGTTGTCGTTGGGAAACATTTTACATTTTTGCAGATTGTGGTTTAGTGGCTGAAATCCAAATCCACTTAACTGCTAAAATTGGAAAATGTTTGCTCCCCAAACCCAAGGTCAACCAAGTGTGTTCTCCAGCTGCTTTCAGCTATGGGATCTCCAAACATCGCCCTCGGGGTGGTGCATTTTTTTTTTGGCAGCTTTCAGGGAGGTTTCAAAAGCAGAGTCTCTAGACCCACCTCCCTTTTCCATTCTGAATCCAGGGATCCGGATCTTTCTAGAAAACCTCCGGTTTTCCCAGGGAAAACATTCTGAACCCAGGGATCCGAATCTTTCTAAACCTCCGGAAGCCCATGGAAAACGAATCCGCTTTTTGGAAAGAAGGATGGTTGAAAAGAACGGAAGAGGAATCAACCCCTAGAGAGTCGGTTCCTTTCACAGGGCATCCCGCTGGAGATACCACCTAGGCTGATTTGTACATCGACCTCAAAATGGTGGCCGCTTCTTCTTTTTGCATGGCCCCCAAGAGGTCTCCATTTGGGTGACTTTTTGAAGGGGGTGGCCTCATACTTTTGAGGTGGGCAAAGTACGAAACATACTCGGAGCATATGTTTGGTGTAGCCCACTTGGGCCGAGTTTTCCACGCATTCCTACCGGACAGTACCTTTGACATAGCTGAAGCCTTCTCTTACTTTCTCACTTGCCCAAGGCGAATCGACCGGCCATGACCTTTTTGTTTCCCCTGAACCCTGGCAGCCTGAAACATCCTAGACCCCCAATGCCAAAGGACCCCTTTTTTCTGCCTTTGTACCCTTTTTTTGGGGTCCTTAGGCAGAAAAAAATCGGAATCGGTCCAGCTGGGGGTCCAGGATGTTTAAAGGCCTCCGGCCCAAGCCTCACCAAGGCACTGCAAAACAATGCACGGTTGGTTGGTTGGTTGGTTGGTTGGTTGGTTGATTTTTTTATGGGACCAACATGAGCTCATTTGCCCAAAGCGAATCGACCAGATCTAACCTTTTGGTTTGCCAGTTTTGGGTTCCCATTTTTCGTCATGGCCCCAAAAGGTGATCACCTTTTATTTCTGGGTCCTTTGGGCAACTGAGAAATCTTGACCTTCGGACCTTGCCAGTTTGCTGAGGTGCCCTGAAAAACATGCTAATTTGCACCACATGTAGGTGTTCACGGCAAGCTCACAGCAACACTAAGTCACAAGCCATGGTTAACAGGGCTGTTTCGATGACGATACGGTTCGGTACCGCAAGCTCCGCGATACCATTGCTTTGAATATCCGATAAACTTGCGATACAGCAGGGGAGTATTGAACAATATCTCGATAAAGGAATATACTCAACCGCTGCGGCGCTGCGGCTGCGCGCTGGTGTGCAAGCTGTGCTGCCAACAGGCCGGGAACCTCGAATTCGGTGTGTTGTGTCGCCAAAAGCCCGAAAGAGGCAAGAATCGAGCCTACACTTCTGCGGAAGCCAGACCCAGACACCATCCACTACACCAAAGTACTTTTACACCTCAAACAAAGGTCTGAAATCGACACTACTTTTGGTGTCCTGGATGAGCACTTCCCGAACCCTCAAAAACGATCTAACTCGCCGAGTTAGGTTGATTTCTGGCCTTGGCTGGTTGCAGGTGTCCCGGATGAGCCCTGGGAAGTGGGAACCCTCAAAAACGATCTAACTCGCCGAGTTAGGTTGATTTCTGGCCTTGGCTGGTTGCAGCTGTCCCGGATTGAGCCTTGGTAAGCGGGAACCCTCACAAACGGTGTAACTCGCCTAGTTTGGTTGGTTTCTGCTGTCGCAGCTGTCCCGGATGAGCCCTGGGAAGTGGGAACCCTCAAAAACGATCTAACTCGCCGAGTTAGGTTGATTTCTGGCCTTGGCTGGTTGCAGCTGTCCCGGATGAGCCCTGAGAAGTGGGAACCCTCAAAAACGATCTAACTCGCCGAGTTAGGTTGATTTCTGGCCTTGGCTGGTTGCAGCTGTCCCGGATGAGCCCAAGTGGGAACCCTCAAAAACGATCTAACTCGCCGAGTTAGGTTGATTTCTGGCCTTGGCTGGTTGCAGCTGTCCCGGATGAGCCCTGAGAAGTGGGAACCCTCAAAAACGATCTAACTCGCCGAGTTAGGTTGATTTCTGGCCTTGGCTGGTTGCAGCTGTGAGCCCTGGATCTAACTTGCAGCTGTCCCGGATTGAGCCTTGGTAAGCGGGAACCCTCACAAACGGTGTAACTCGCCTAGTTTGGTTGGTTTCTGCTGTCGCAGCTGTCCCGGATGAGCCCTGGGAAGTGGGAACCCTCAAAAACGATCTAACTCGCCGAGTTAGGTTGATTTCTGGCCGTGGCTGGTTGCAGCTGTCCCGGATGAGCCGTGAGAAGTGGGAACCCCCAAAAACGATCTAACTCGCCGAGTTAGGTTGATTTCTGGCCTTGGCTGGTTGCAGCTGTCCTGGATGAGCCCTAAGAAGTGGGAACCCCCAAAAACGATCTAACTCGCCGAGTTAGGTTGATTTCTGGCCTTGGCTGGTTGCAGCTGTCCCGGATGAGCCCTGAGAAGTGGGAACCCCCAAAAACGATCTATCTCGCCGAGTTAGGTTGATTTCTGGCCTTGGCTGGTTGCAGCTCTCCCGGATGAGCCCTGAGAAGTGGGAACCCCTAAAAACGATCCAATTCGCCGAGTTAGGTTGATTTCTGGCCTTGGCTGCAACCTGCAGCTGTCCCGGATGAGCCCTGAGAAGTGGGAACCCCCAAAAACGATCTAACTCGCCGAGTTAGGTTGATTTCTGGCCTTGGCTGGTTGCAGCTGTCCCGGATGAGCCCTGAGAAGTGGGAACCCCCAAAAACGATCTAACTCGCCGAGTTAGGTTGATTTCTGGCCTTGGCTGGTTGCAGCTGTCCCGGATGAGCCCTGGGAAGTGGGAACCCTCAAAAACGATCTAACTCGCCGAGTTAGGTTGATTTCTGGCCTTGGCTGGTTGCAGCTGTCCGGATGAGCCCTGAGAAGTGTTCAACGTGGAATCGGCTTGAAGCAGTCTCAGTCTGTTTTCTTGGCTTTCCATTTCTCCAAAGAGGGTCTCTTCTAAGCAGCCTCTCAAAGACTTTGCCAGCGCCTCCCGTGCCAGGCAGCCACCAGCACAGCAGCAGCTGGCTGCCGCCCTTCTGGCCCCAAAGGGCCCCTCAAAGCAAACCCCAACCGATACCGATACAAATCGGTATGATTCAAAACGATTTGCAGCGATAGTCTTCGATACGATGTGAGGTTGCGATACTTGCTTTTCGATACCGATAGCTCGCAATACGCAACGATACGATTCGGTATGTTGTATTTGTATTGTTGAAACGACCCTGGTTAATCATGTTAAACAAATACTAAGCCACAAGCCATAAACACAAGCGCTACTCCAAATATCCGTTTTGTTTAAATAGTATCATGTCAACCCTTTACTTACCAATGAGTCATTTATCACAGAAGACGATCCCCCAACCAACCAGTACTTACCATGGAAAACCGGGTTTCCCCCAAAAGCAAAACCATGAGGCATCTACCATGGAAAGCGAGGTTTTTCCCCAACACAATTCCATCAAACACGCGTTGCTACTGTGGATGGACGGAATCCTGCACCAGATTGAACCCATGGGAAACCAGTGCTTGTTGGCATTTACAGGGGAAGCGAATCAGAAACCTGGGTTTCTTAGGTGGTGCGAAATGGATTTCGTCCATCCACAGTATTTGGAGCTTTCGGGGGCACCTTGATTGCTATTGGGTTGGATCTTTAGACTAACTCTTTGGAAAATCAAGGGGTTTTCCACTAAACCCCTCAAAAAGTTAAACTTTTTGCAGGGGGGTCAACAGCAACCAAGACACATCAACCGCACGAGGTGATTATTCCCTGGGTCTTCCTTTGGATGTTCTCCAGCGCGGTACTGGGGCTGGCGCGCTTCGCGCGCTTCCAGCACCGCCGGCTGAAGCCGGCAGGGGATTCTTAAATATGGTTGTGGCTCAAAAGTAATGAGCTACCCCCTGCTCCAAATACCTTCTTTTTTCAGGGTATCATGTCGACCCTCTATTAAAAAAGGAGGTATTTACCATGGAAAACCAGGTTTTCCAAAAAATACCCTGAACAAATCGGGTATTTGGAGTAGGGGGTAGGGTTGCGCAGGTAGTCCTTGGTGCCATTTTTGTACTTCTTTTTGACTGCCAAATTTTGGGCACGGACCCCGAATTGCTCACTTCCCGAGGTCCTGAACTTGATGCTTTTGGGGTTTGGACCAGTTGAGTTGTAAACAAAGAGTTTGGGTACTTTGTGTGGCCCATCCACTCGCAAGATTACAGATTACACAACAACATTATGAGTTCAATGGTGAGTTCGTTTGACCCTCCCCCTTCTCCTGCAATCTGCAAGATCGCCGCAACATAGGCCGAATAATGCAAACCCAATCAAAAAGGTTCCTTGAACGATGCATCCAAAAAGCACCTTTACAAGGATTCGGATCCTGTAAACCAGCCGGTGAAGATGATTTCTTAAATTTGCCCCAGGCATCCTTAGCTGATAATTTGTGTTCATTAGTTGGCTCATGTGTGCTGCATGGTGTTTTTTGTACGTGTTCAGTTGTTGCTTGTTGATGTCAGAGTTGCTTCACGTAATGGATTGTTTGCTTATGTGCGTGTGAGTTCACGGGTATTGTGTTGTGCGTTCCGCTTAGTTGGTTTGTGTTTGTGCGTTTGTGTTGCTATTGCTTGCTGAATGGGGTTGTATTGTGTTCAGCTTGTTTCGACGCGCCATGTTCGTCGTCATTTGCTGCATGCATTATATGATATCGCTTTTTAGGTCGTTATTGTGCATGTGGGGCTACAAGGAGCACGCCCTTGTTTGGCGTGTTGCTTCTGACATCTTCTGACTTTGTCTGTCTTGTTCCCCTCAACGTGCTGCTGTTATGTTGGGTCCATGTCCCTTCATTCCCTTTTGGGTGCGGATGAGTTGTTGTTTTCTTTCGATCCGTGGCTTCCCGTTGGATTAATATGCATGTCAATTCTTCGAGGTCGGTTTAGATTGAGGGAAGCTCGAGACAGGCCTTTCTTGAACCAAAGGGTTTGGTTGTTTGTTTGTTTTTGTGTCCAGGGAGGGTTCGTTTTTGGGAATCGGGCCCCCGAAAATGGTTGGGTTTTCTTTTGGTTCCCTTTAAGGCCAACCAAGAAGGGTACCCTTAAAGACAAACTCAAGTGCTAACAGGGCGGCGACCCCTTCTACTTCAAAGGTTGGACCACCAGACCTTTGGACCCATCTTTCATTTGCTTAGGCCTCCCCCCATAGGTTCTGGAAGTCCGCGGTTGATTGTAGGGGTTGAACGCTTCATTTTTGCCTCAACAACTGAAGGCTTTGGGGTCGGTAGGCCCAGAAATCGCTTCGTTCGGGGTGGTTTGGGGAGCGTTCAGGCCGCAGATTTGGTTCCTTCGAGTGTCCCGGGGCTGGGGATAGACACCGATCGATTGAAGCCATGGTAAATACCGATTCAGTTCTGTTTCGTCAAGCGTTGACATCATATCCTTCTGAAAAACTGGGTATGGGGGCCCTCCCACAGTGGTCTGATTCCCCACATTTCACCCAGTTGGACACCGCGCTGTGGATGGACGAAATCCATTTCGCACCACCTAAGACCCCATGTTTCCGACGATTCCCCAGTAAAATACAAACACCGACTGGTTTCAACCGACTGGTTTCGAAGTGGTGCTGGGCTTGAGTAAAACTTACCTCTTAAAAACACGAAACGTTTCTCAACTTTTTGGGTAACATGGGCTATATGTCTGTAAAAGATGAGAACTTCCTTCCCCAGGTTGCTTGGAGTTTGAAGGGGTAAGTAAAAAAACACGGGGCCAACCTGAAGCCCAAGGTACCAGCTCCTGCGGATCAGCGTGGACACTTTGCTCCTCATGGCGCTGAGCGTGCTGACAGACATCGAGGACCGGGCCTGGAGTCGACCGGGCCACGGGTCTTGAGACTTGACCCTCTTTCCAATGGAAGTGCACAAATGGGTTCGGGACCCAAAAGGAAAGTCGTCCAAAGCCCTCCTGTCAACTTCCATGATTGGAGGGAGGGTAACTGTTCTTGGAAAGAAAGGTGGTTTTCACTAAGCTCCCAAGAAGTTAAAAACTTTTGTAGGGGGGTCAACAGTTAACCTTTGGTTGAAATCAAGTTGGGCTTTCCGAGCTAAACCCCAAAAAAGTTATTCACCTTTATTTTTTGCAGGGGGGTCAACGGCAACCAAGCCCCCGTAACCTCCAATTGCCCGGCTTTTCTTTTTTCAGTTGGTATCATGTCGACCCTCCACTAAAAGCAGGGAATCGGTATTTACCATGGAAAGCCTTTCTCGGTTTTCAACCACAAATACCCTGAAAAAAACTCTTGGTATTTTGAGTAGGGGGTAACCTTTTGATGGCTCCGAACTGGGCGACTGAGTTTGGCTCCCTTCCATGTGCGCGTGCGACCTGTCTGGATGTCCGCTGTTGGGTGTTGAAGGGAATGCCTATCACTGCTTGCCTTCCGAGTTGCGAAAATGGAGGTTCCTTTGGCTTGTGTGCGCAAAACCTGCTCCGTGGGGTTTCTTTGTTCAGGGTTGCTCCCGGGGCAGAAGAACCCATTTGAGGGCCAAAAGAGGCACGTTTCTGTTCCACCCCCATCTACCCCCTACTCAAAATACCAACGCTTTTTTCAGTTGCGGTATTTTGGTTGGAAAACCGATCGGTTTTCCATGGTAAACACCAAGCCTTTTTTCGTAGAGGGTCGACATGATACCAACTGAAAACAGAAAAGCCGGGTGTGTGGAGGTTTTTGGGGTACTCAACGAGGTGGCGTTGGTAAGCTGCGGCCAGTACCTGACTTCTTAAGCGCTGATGAGTCATTCTCTCCGATGGCCTGACTGGCGCCCAAGACACGTCTGTGTTCTACCCCCATCTATAGCTCCTCTCCTCCAGGAATCCAAATTTTCGGCCCTCGGCCGAAGCGAATCGCGAGGACGGGTTCACCTGGCTCTTCCGCCAGCTCCACGGATGCTTCTCCCAGAGAGCAAAGAAGCGGCTGCGCCTGGCGCAACGGTTGCATCTGGAAAAGCGAGGGAGGGAGGGGATGGTTGGGGGGGGGGGGGGGTGCCTTTGGTTCTTTCCCTGAACACACAAATTGAACCTACCCTGAACCCTCAAAATACCCGTAAAATGCGTTGACCTGCCCAGAACCCTCAAACTACATGTAAAATGAGTTATTGCCCTCGAATTTCTGGGATGGTTTCCCTTTCTAATGGGAAGTTTGAGGGTCTAGGCAGTCTAGGCAGTCTAGGTATGGGCTTTCCAAGATGGTCACTTGGCTTCGGTTCCCAACTTGGCAGCTTGTTCCATGATGAGAACAAGCTAGTTCAGGATCAAAGAGAAACTCCAAATCAGAATCTTCGTCAGGTTCCCTCCTGAAAGATGGTTTGGGGGTAAGACCCAGGATTTGGGATACAATTCTTCATCAGGCTGATGGATCCACCGTCAAGATTAGAGGTTTCGGCAATGCCCATAGGTGTCTTTTTTTTGGTTCTTTTGGTAGACAAATAGATGGCGATTCCTGGTTTACCTGGTGGCTTAATCATCTACCAGGGCCATCTATTTCCTCTAAAAGGACAACTATGGCAATGCCGGGTCGCTTACAGTAAGTATGTTCACAAACTTAATTTTGTGCCGGTTTGCTTTGCACCTCCATGAGAAGGTAGCTTTGTGATGTGACTGCACTCGATCCAGTACCGGGAGAAGGCCCCTTTAACCAGCAACATGATTGCGACAGGTCTGCCAATCAGACTCCAGATTAGTTGGTGGATGCTTGTAATGGTAACCCGTTGGTTCAGCAACCCTTGGTTGCTTCTTAGGGCGGCGTTCCGTTGTAGAGGGAACCCGAATCACTGTCGCTTCGATTCATTTGCGAGCTTTGCCAATCCTTGGTCAACAGTACTGGGTGTCAAACAATTACTGTTTTTGGCGGCCATCAAAGCCGGAAACGGCGATTTTGACGTTTCCCTTTAACCTACGCAACGGGGTGGCGTTGGTACCCCCTGCTCAAAATATCGAATTTTGCTGGGTATTTCTGGTTTCCCATGGCAAATATATCGTTGTAGAGGATCGACATGATACCAACTGAAAAAAGAAAAGCCGGGTGTGTGGAGGTTATGGGGGTACTCAACGAGGTGGCGTTCGTAAGCTGCGGCCAGTACCTGACTCGTCCGCTTTTTGGATCTTAAGCGCTGAGTCCAGTCCGATGGCCTTGGCCCAAGAAATTCCGGTTGCGAGCCCTGGTTTTCTTGTCGGCCCACTACAGGTGTCATTCTGCCTCCTCTTTGGTTGCTATCAAAGCCAGAAACTGCATACCTGGATCGCCAGTTGCGATTGCTTTTTCCCATGAGCTTTACCCCAAAAAACAATCGCAACTTGGCTAGGCATGTATGTTTCCCTTCAACCTACGCAACGGGGTGGCGTTGGCAAGCTGCGGCCATTGCCTGACTCGTCCCTTTTGGATCTTTGGCTGAGTCCGATGGCCTGACTGGCCCACACCCAGGTTGCGAGCCCTGGTTTTAGAACTTTGCGGCCCACCCGGAGGGTTTTTACCTACTAAAACAGACTACAAATTGGCCACCCTTTTTCTAAGCACTGTACTGGAGGACCTAGACTACTCACCTGGAACCTCAAGTAGCTACAAATCTTTCCAGGTTTGGGCGCACTCCAATTCCATTCTGTGAATCTCAGGGAAGCTTGACTCATGGAAAACGGCCTTGCTTGTCTCGCTGTGTATCAGAAACCTGAACATGTCTTCGACTTGTTTTGTGACACATGTAGGTGTATGAACATATGGGAACCCCTAAATTGGTGGTTTCCTTTGGGTGTGCCTTGAGAACACCAGGGTACCTTTGTGTGTTATTGCATTCAGCTTTCTCTAGATACCCCTGGTTACCTAATGGCGAAACGCCTGGGAGCACTAGCTGGGTTAACCGGTTTTTGCCCAGGCCCAAAGGGGGGCCTGTGTGAGACACACTGAGGAGCGCGACCTGAAACGCGCCCCGAGCTTCGCTGAATTCCGGCGGGCCGAAGAGGCGAGAACCAGCTTCAATTCCCCTCGAAGTTTAACATGGAGTCCAAGAAACCAGCATTGGCAGAGGACAAATCTGGTAACCCCCAAATGCGGGCCAGAGTTGACCTGGAACCAAGGAAGCACCATTTGCGGAGGAAACTCCTTTTTGGGTTCCATGTTAGTTTTGGAAGCGTTGGGTCTATGATGATGGCCACTGAAACATGAAACACCCGACCTGTGGGTTGCTTCCTGTTCTTAGGCTGTGGCCCCTCGTGCAAGATGTGCCGATCCTAATCTACCTGGACCCGAAATCGCAAAACATGGGCGCCAACGAACAAACATGGCTGTGGGTCAAAACCAATGGGATCCCATTTTGGGGTAGGTGCACCACCCATTTTAGTCTATTTTGGTGTGACTTCCCTTGTGCATGGAAGGTTTGAGGGTCCAGGTGTAGCTGATAAAGTATAGGGTCACATACATCGCTGCTACTTGTACATTATGCCCTCTTCCCATGGACACCCATAGCCAAATTTGGTGGGTATTTGGTGGGCATTTGACTAACTTGTAGAATTTCCTGGGGTTGGCTCCTGAGTTTTCCCTGCTCATCATTTGTTTCGTCAGTGTGTTGGATTTCCCCAGCTGACAGCTACAGGGTCTCTGCCCGAATAGGCTCTGGGGCTTTCAGGGGGGGCTTCCTTTTGCGGGTTCCCTTTGGGCTGTTGAGAAGAATCTCTCCATGAATCTGTGCGCGTTTCAGGAGCCCGAAACGTGGAAAACATGGAGCCCAACATCGATTTAAAACAAGGATGAAGGTGAAGAAACGGGTTTTGGGGGTCCAACCATGGTAAACCTGATGAAACAGCAAACACGTCTTTTGTTGGCTCACATCTCCCCGGAGGGGGGGGGGGCACCTAGAGTCTATTTTGCAACCATGAACCCCTAAAAAAGCAAATACCCTAGAAGAAGGAGGTGGCAAAATAGACCCCTTCAGTATCCACCATACTGTGGATGAACGAAATCCATTTTGCACCACCTAAGAAACCCCGGAATGATGATTCCCCTGTAAATCCCAACCAACGTTCTGGTTTGCCATGGTTACCCCAAGTGGTGCGAGAAGCGGATTTCGTCGATCCACAGTAGGGGGGGGGGCCACGTTTCCTCGGCGGAGCAGATCGTTGCGGAGGCGCTGCGGAAGGCGGGGCGGGAGGAGAGCTGCTGCCGCCGGCCCAGCCGCTGCTCCATGGAGGCTCGAGCTCGAGCTCGAGCCATGGGCGCGGGGGGGAGGGGGGGGTGGGTGGTGGGGGGCGTGGGGGGGGGGTGGCGGGGTGGGGGGCCCAAGTGGCCATTGGGGGCGGGGGCGGAAGGGGGGGGGGGTGGGGTGGGGTCCTAGAAAGGTTCATTAAGATGTTCGAAAGCAGGGTGGGGCGGTGGGAGCGGGAGTGGTTGTAAGAACCCTTTGGATGTCACCACCAATGAACATGGAACCTGACACGGGGTCCCTTACAAAGGTGGCACTGGTGTCCAACTATTTCAGACGTGAATTTTGCTTGGATGTTAGGACTTTAAGTTTTTGCCAACTAATGAGTTTTCCATATTAAACCACAAAAGGTTAAACTTTTTGGTCCCCCCTACAGCCAATACCCACTTTTTTCAGTTGGTAGGATGTCGACCCTCTATTAAAAAAGGATGTAATTCGCCTTGAAACACCAAAAATACCCTGAACAAGGCGGGTATTGGAGTAGGGGGTTGTAAGAACCACGGCCAAACATCCAAGCACCCTTCTTGGTTGGTTTAAACCAAAGCCATGGTTGTTGGGGTGAAGGCTCCCCCCCATTTCTCAACTTTTGCTCTCTCATCTGCGTCTCGAGCCAGCCGGCCTCTAGCATCATACTATGGACCAGATCTCTTTTGTAGCCCGTGGCAAACCACATGGGAAACCATTGTTGGTTGGTATATGCAGGGGAATCATCAGAAACCAGGGTTTCTCAGAAGGTGCGACATGGATTTCGCAACGTTTCACAACCATCCACGGTGCGGATGGACAAACAAAATTGGGGGGCTGTTGAGAATCATCATGGAGGCTGCTTTGGATGGAGGCTGCCTTGTCAGGATCACCTTCAAGTGCTGCACTTGGAGCTCGAGAAATCCCTGGCAGCAAGCACGACCGGCAAGGAGGACTCTCGAAAATGATCTCACCCATCCAAATTCTAGGGCTTGATTCCACACTCTTTTCAACAATCCTGGACAGAATAGAATGGGGAAGCTTCCCTTAGACACATGAGTTGTCAGGCGAAGCAAGGTTCAATGTTTGCGGCTTAAAGGCAGAGAAAAAGATCCAAAAAGGGTTCCCGGACCCTCAAACATCATTTTTTTGGGGTTGGCCTGGAGACACAGCCAGACGAATGTTTGTGTTAAACACAGACCATTCGATATCCTCTAAATCGGATTGCTTACAATAGCAGAGTCTAGTTGGGCTGAGTTCGGCTAAATGCTGGAGCAGTGTGGCGGCAAATTTCTGTAACACCGGGGAAGCCCAGTAAGTGACAAAGCAAACATGCCCCACTCCGCCCAATACCCACAGTTTTCAGGGCGTGATATCAACCTTTGTACTACAGAACAGCTCCGAATACCACCTCTTGTTTTGCCAGTTGCCTTTACTAAAACAGGATGACTTTACCCTGGAAAAGCAAATGCCCTGAAATTTGGAGTAGGGGCGTGTCTCTTATTTTTAGGCTACCAGTCTTTTAATGGCTTCAAAGGGAACACAACTTCTTTGTTTGTTTTTTTCTGTTGGGGCTTGGGTTGAATCCCAAAAGAAGGCGCCACCACATATCAGCACTTCCTTTGGTTGGGATGGGGAAAAGCCTGCCTTCTGTTTGGTGTGCTTTTGATCGCCTGAAGGGAAGCTTTACTTTTTATAGCTGACAGGTATAGTAGGGAACCCTTTGCTGTTTTCCTCCTTGAACCACTGACCACCCCCCCTTGAGCACCACCCACCCCCTCCCCTTCCCCCCCCCGCTTAATGGGATTCCACACCTTCGGAGCTTTCGCCGGCGGCCCGGCCTCTCCAACTCTATATGGATGGCTAAATGAATTTCGCACCAACTAGAAACCTTGCGACAGCATTGTTTAGTGGTACAGGGAATCATCAGAACCCAGGGTTTCTTACATGCAGGCTTTCGTCCATCCATGGATGGACCAAATCCATTTCGCAGTTGGAAACCATGGTTGAAACCACTTGTTGGTACAGGGGAATCGAAACCATGGTTGAAACCACTGACTGTTTGTTGGTACAGGGGAATCATCGGTTTCTGATTTTCCGGTGGTGGCGATTTCTGGGTGTGGCAATCAAAATCAAGCCACCTAGGGGCGGTTACCGCAGGAATTTTGGCACCCATGTTTCCACTTACCAGGGCAAGCCATTTTTGGATTTCCGGTCTTTTGAGCCAAAATGGATTGCCCTGGTGGACCAAGGAATTGCTCCAGCTTCGCCAGGTGTGGCTGAAATCCAAATGGTGTCTTTTGAGCCACAGCCACATGGCTTTCGTTAGGACCTGGCGAAGCTGGAGCCGCTGCTGGTGGACCAAGCCGGCGGCGTGGAGTGGACCCGCGTGCCCAACGCCGAGCAGCGCCTCATCGCTTGCTGCGAGGGGTTTTACATCTTCGAGAATTTTGCTTCGACATTTGCCCTTCCAGAGGCTTCTTTGTAAAGGTCTTAGAAGGCTTCCTTCTAAATAAAGCCTTTTTAAAGGAGCCCCACCAAGCCACTTGGGGATGATTTTGACCATGACTGGTGGTTCTCAGCCTTAGGTTTTGAATGGTTTCTGGTTGGTTTAGCATCTTTTCATGTAATTTCTTGCTGATGCGAGAGATGCAGGGAATGAGAATTGGAATGACCCTATAAACCAAACAACCTCCTTGTGGGGAATTCACACGACCCTGATAAACCAACCAACCCTGCGTGGGATGTTTTTGAGGTTCCAAAAGCCATCCAGTTCCAGAAAGGTTGTTAGCTGGTTTGGGGGATTCTTGGACCAAGAGTCAAAAAACCTGGCTGGTAACCAGTTTGTACATGGCGGTCCACGTTACCTCAATTGGTGGCTTGGATTTGGATTTGAACCCCTGGTTCTCGTAGTTGAAGGAAATCAACAAATGTATATATATATATATATGATATATAGTATATATATATATATATAAGCAACGTCTCTGGCAATGCTTTTACCGGCCCAGGTATTTGGAGAGGCTCTGTCACTGCCTGAAAGCTGTGTGCGGGCGTCGCCAAGATCAGACCGTTCTACAGGACTACCTCCGAGCCATTTCCCCGTAACCTCCAAAAGTGGCGATCCCAGAGGGTCCCTTATTACCTCCTGAGGATGGCTTTCGGGGGGGTAAAAAGAGGTCTAAGTGCCTCCTTAGATTGTACTTGGACCCTCTGGGGATCGTTTCAACGGACACCACCAGTTTGATCAATCTTGGGAAGAGGACCGGTTTTCTCCAGTTCACCCCTTTTTTTTGCCAAGACACTCAGTGGCGCCCTTTTGCCCTGTTTCCATGGCCACTGAAAAAATGGGTTGGCGATGGTTTTGAGAACCCTCCTTTTGATCCCCCCCTGAAAGCTGCTAACCAGCCCAGAGCTTATTGGGCCTATCGACCCCACAGCTTTCAGCTGTTGGGGGAAAAAGGATTGGCCTGGGAATCGAATTGTAGGTTTTTCTGGCCACCCGGCATGGAAGGAAACAGGAAAGAGGAACACAAACGGGCAGGGCCAGGGAGCCATGAACTTTAGAGCGTGAGAATCCAAGGCCCGCGGCTGATATACCCAGATGCCTTAGTCTTTGCTGAAGTAAACCGACCCATTCGGAGATGCGATGCCTCCATGGTAAATCAACCAGGGTGTTCAAAAGCAATACTGGGCAACTAAAGTAAACACCGGCATTTTGAAAGGAGCTTTCGGGTTTGTCGTGGGCAGCCGTTGTTCACATGTCAGCCTCAAACTGCCCGGTCTAGATGGAGAGCGGACCGCCTGGTTTGGGTCACGTTCATGTTGGTGGGGGGCCCTCAATTCCATTTATCTAGTCTTCCCCAAAAAGGGAAAATGAAACCAGAAACAGATTTCCAGGAGTCACCTCGCGGCTCGGGACCTTCGCTTTTTGGAAGATCCGACCTTTCAAGCGGAAAACCACCACCAGAAGGGATGAGTCGAAATCCAGGGTCTCCCTGCACCGCGTTTTCTCCAAAGCTTGTCCAATACCCAGGTTTTCCCATCTGACCCTGTAAAGTTTAGAAGGATTTTCGCTTAGACTATTAGAGGGTACCCAAGCTTCGTTGTTTGTAAAGGAGGGGCTTCTTGAATCGTAGTAAACATTTTCTTCTCGAGGAGACTATGAAGAAGCCACCATTTTAAGGGCAATGCTCAACTCCAAACCCCCTAAATGATTTTGGGTTTGTCTATTCAATTCTGGTGGTTTCTTTGGAACCAAAAGGAACACCGAAGCCATCGTGGATCCAAATCCTAAAACCCAGAGGCTCCTGGCTTCGGCTTTCAATGGAAGACCCGACCCCTCCACTAGTGGAGCCTCTGGGAAGACGAACATAGACTACAGAAAACACATCGGGTACCCTTATTCTAACCTCTCCACTGGAGGACCTAGACAATCATGCCTTGGGTTCGTCGGGGGTAAGCCATCGTGGATCCAAATCCTAAAAGAAGAGCCATCGGTTTCGTGCCAGGAGTGGCTCATTGAGCGGCGCAAGGCCATTGGGAGGACGGCCCTGCGCCTTGGCTGAAGCCGCCGCACTCGGTCACTCGGTCACTCGCCGCTCGCGGTTAGCCAAAGCGAAGCGCCAAAAGATCCATCGCACCCGGTTGGTTTTCCCGGATTTCTTTGTAGGGCTATTTGGCAACGCATCTTTGGACTTTACTTACAGCGTTTTTGGTTGAAGCAGTTCGGATTTTCCGAATTGGACCCCGCAACAAGCTACTTTCTCTTTGTTCAGAGGGGTCTCGCCAGCGACCAAGGTTTGGTTTTCTTGTTTCTGTACCCATAGATTAGATCACCGAAGGTGATCACCTTTTATGTCCAGGTTCCGAAGGGGCAAATGAGCAAACGGTTCCAAGTTGATTCTTCCGGCCAAGTTGGTCACGGCAGATGAAGTCCTGATGTGCTGACATTCCCTTTTTTGGGTGCCGCCAACCCTTGATACTGTGGATGGACGAATCCTGCACCACTTGTGGAAACCATGGGAAACCATTTTGCCGTTGGTACTTGCAGGGGAACCATCATTTCAGGGTTTCTGAGGTGGTGCGAGACGGATTTGCAACCATCCGCAGTACTTTAAGGAGCACCCGTACTTTAATTGGTTTGGACCATTGCCTTTCATTTGCTTGCAAATATTTTCCATTTGTCCTTGTTGGGTTTAAACAGAGTTTTATCACTATTGGACATATTTTTCTCATTTTTTTCAGGGGGCGATTTCAGCAAATGGACCGTTGTAATAGTCTTCATGACCCTTTAAAAATGGTCAGCACCCAAAATACTGGGGGTCATTGACCCATTTTTGACTCGGGTCATGGAGGCTCCAGGTAGTGGCGGTTTGGAGTTTTGTTCGGCTTCAGGTGTCTCAGCGGAGGAGGATCTCTGGCCATGCACCACATGGGGGTGTGCCGCTTCTTGCTGGAGGAGGGCTTGATGCCCAAGCGCCTTGACAAGTAGGTACCCTTAAAGGGAGCTCACAACACAGAAGTTGAGGGCAATATCCCATTTTCAAGGGTGGTTGGACGGTGCCGGTGGATTTGGGGAAAGAAAGTCACTGCTTCGATTTGCGTTCAGAAGATGTGTGATCTTGCATCCGAAGACGCTACACATACAAAAAGGGGATCACCAACCTTAAATTCGGAAAGCAATATCCAACTTTGATGGGTGGTTGGATCCTGGGTCCGACTCACACGTTCAGGGGAATCAACCCAAACATTTTGGTTGGCACTGACTCATTTTATGGGTAGTCTGCGGGTTCAGGTATCCTTCAAGAGATTTCACAAACCAACGTTGAGGCCAATCTCCCAGTTTAAAGTGTATAGTTCGCGGCTCCACGTGGATTTGGGGAATGAAGCGGCACTGCTTCGATGTGTGTTCAGAAGATAGTGATGCTTTGTTTGTTTTACAGGGAACCTACCCCCTACTCCAAATACCTGCTTTTCTCAGGATAATTTTGGGTTTCCATGGTAAATACCTGTTTTTTTAGTACTGAGTTGACATGATACCCTAAGAACTCGAGTATTTGGAGTAAGGGGGGGTATCACCACAGACAACAAGGAACCAAGGCACCGCAACCCACGTGTCTGACCCAAATATGGGGTGGACTGCGGGTCCCTCTTTTTGAGGCGAAGGGCCCCGCCTTTTACGAGGCTTGCTTGGAAGGAAAGCCCAATGGGAAACACCCTTCACTGTTGTTGGCATGCGTTTTGTTTCTTTCGGATTTTAGGCCTGTTCGTTTTAAGCCGGGACCAGCAAAACACAAAGTGTTGTGCTACCATACCAGGCTTGGAAAGCAAATATGCATTTTGTGGGTTTCCCATTTCAAGATGACATGGAGTTCATGATTCGGACTTTTCTAGCTAATCTTTTCGACTTGTGTTTAGTTTGTTTGGCATTTGGTCCTGTTCATCCTAGCGGCTGCTGCCTTCTGCTCGGAAAAGAGTTGGAATGGCTTCCATTTGTGTCTTTTCCCCTCCTCGCTGTAAAGGGGAGTCTATCACAAGAAATGCTGGTTGGTTCCCATCTTCTGAAAATGGTCCAAGCAAGGGATTCGCTTCAGCGAAGGATTGGGTTCCGCGGTTGCAAGTCCCTGCTGCTCTTTGGTCTAAACTTAATAACGACTCACTCCCTGAGTTCCCTTTGGTACTTTGTGCTTTTTGGGGCCATTTGAGTAAACAAACACAGTTCGATCGTGTGCCTTTTTCTGTTTTCCCGGGCTACAAGCAAGCATGGTACATCCAGAGTTGCAGGCAAAAGTAGACCCTGAAAGAAAAACCCCTGGGACATGTTCCACTACCCCCTACTCCAAATACTCGCTTTTTTCAGGGTATGATGTCGACACTCCACTAAACAAGGGATCGGTATGTACCTTGGAGAACCGATCGGTTATCAACCAAAAATTCCCACTGAAAAAGCGTTGGTATTTAAAGTAGGGGGTACCCATAAAGTAGACAAATGGCTGTGGGTCAAAAACATGTACCAAAATGGCACCTCGGTAAATGGTACCAAAGACTGCAACCTGCGTAACCCTAGCTCTTTAATTTTGAGCCATACCCAAATCACCCCAAATACTGGAGGTTACGGGGGTCTACGCTCCCGAACGAACCCTCGCAATCGGTCTGCACCCAGCTCGAGGGGTTTTTCCCCGACCCGAGGATCGTCAGCGGCGTGTCCGGGGGCTCCATCGTGGCGGCGTTTTTGGCCATCCACACCGACGAAGAGCTGCTTGGACCGGGACGCTTTTTGCACCCCCGGAAGTCCGGGATTCAGAAGCCAAATCGGCGGTCGTGGAGAACCCGGGGCAGGGGCTCTTTTGTTAAAAAAACATGCCCGGAGAAAAAAGTATAAACAAACAAATCAATAAGCAGGGTATGTGGATATAGGGGGTTTTCCTAATTGGTGCAAACCCAAAAAACTCCTTTGCTGGGAGCCGGCAGGTTGCTTTCAGCTGGTTCTGTAAGGGCGAAGGTGCCCTTCGCCCCTCTTTCGATGGATGGGCAGGAAATGAGCAAGTTATGTCCCCTTGCTGAAGCATGCGGGTGACTGTGGCAAGATCATGAGGCCAGCATTTTTTCAACTTGCCGAATGAGAAATGGAATGACCCCGAAGTGTGAACTCCTGTAGATGTTTTCTCGGGCACCAGCAAGATGATTAGGAGCTTAAGACGCTCAGATGATTCCTTTTCCCGTCCAGCAATCATCGAAGTGGATAAAGGGGGGTAGCCTTCCAAAACCCGCTTGTCAACCTGCATACTTCTTGGAGGAAGGGCATGGGGCTTTCCGAGTTCAGTTTGTCAATCGTATTCTGCTCAGATGGAGTGGGCCGAACTCAAGTCTACTAAGTAGAAACAACGAGATCGGACCTGGGAAGGCTGTTAGCTCATAGATTTCCTAGCCCAAAATGTAAACCTAGTACTTCCAGCTCGTTTAGAGAGTCAGTTGGCAGTTCTCCAATAGGAGTTCATACAACGAAAGTGTTTCCGTTTGGTCTCCCAAGCCACCGCAAAGGGTCTCCGGGCCCTCAAACTACACCAAAGCGAGGACTTATCTCCATGTTTTTTGTTTTTTTTTAAATTTAACGGGTAGTTTGGGGGGCCAGGTCCACCGTTCTGAGAACCCCCCCCCCGAAACAAAACACGGCTGTTTTGATTTGCCGGTTCGGTTTGAACGGCACCAGGATCCTGAGCCACGTCTTTGTGCCGGGCATCCCTCATCGGCATTTGCCACACCGCTGGTTTCCCCACTGGTGGAAGGAGCGAGGGTTAACAAAAAAACATCACCCAGCCGCTTGAGAGCCCAGCTGCGTCCTTAACATGGGGTGTCCATCAGGCGAATGCAACTTTGCCTAGCTGCTTGGACCCTAAAATGAAGGCCCTACCCCCCAAGACCCGCAAGAAAAGGGTCTTAAGGGACTTTCGAGTTTTGCTCTGGGGAAATTTCTGGGCGGTTCAAAGGCAATCCGCTTCAATCCTCACCTTCGGTTACGCAAGGATTTAAGGTCTCTTGTGTAGTGACTTGCCTATTGGGATTGTGGATTAGGATTGGCCTCCATTTGGAACAGCCCAGAAAGCCCAGTGACCCCTCAGGTGCTCAGGTGCATGTTCAAGGATGTTTCTCCAGGGGTATGGAGGTATAATTGTATATACCACTTATACAAGGGGTACCTTCTGCCTTACAAGCCTATATTGGTGGCATATAAAAGCCCACAGCGCCAAAACCCATACCCGGAAATGCCTTTGACACTTCGACACTTGCCCTCACTTCCAAGTACAGCGTGCAGTACACCAACTACAGCACAGTGTAATGTGGTCACAAGTTCTTACCCACTTCTTAAGTGGGCCTTTGATCAGATCATGTCTGACTTTAGTGATTCGTTAGCATTGATGCTCAAACCGTTTTTGGGATATGACTAGGCCTTGCCAGCCAGGTTGCTAGCTTAGCGATTTTCTAGATCATTTTACAGCCGGAATTGTCCAAAGTCAACTGGCTTAGCTGGGGTTCCAAACCCAGTGCAGGTTCAGGGCCCTAGCAAGGTCGCAGCCCTACATCGTTTTTGGCAGGAAGAGCGATTAACTTTGGAGTCATTATTTTTGACCATTTTTGAGGTCAGACACTGGGGTGGTTTCCCTTTAACCTACCACTTGCGGGGTGATTTTGATAACGGTGGAATAATGGGGCCAGAAACTATTGGCTCTGCATTGGTATGCATTCAGCTACGCATATGCGGTTTCTGCCACCCAGTTGCCCAGCATCTCGAGGCCGAAGAATTGAACGTTTGCTCGGACTCCATGTTTCAGTTTGCCGGGCTTGCCTTGCAATTGATGCTATGATGATACACGTGAATATGTCCGTTGCCTTAAGAATATGTTTCCCCCTGTTGGTTTTTACGGGAATTGTACTTTGTCCAGGAGACTCAAGCAAATGGAAGAACATGTTGTGTCAATGGCAAAAGTTGCAATCAGCCTTCCCTTGAAGCTGTGCGTGATGAATAGCAAGGACTTCGTTGATCCAAAGGAATGGGTATGTTTGCTGTTTTGTTTTCTTCTTTTTCTTTTTCCCGGACCCTACTAGGTCCCCCCAGTAGTGCCCTTTTACCCTTCTTTTGGGGGGAGGGCTCCTCTACTAAAAAAATCACAGGAAAAAGGTGGCACCCTTATTCTACCCTCTCAAATCTGGAGGACGTAGCCTATAGAGCCACCTTGCACGTGCTTCCTCGCCTTGCGGATTTGCGTTTTCGGCGGGCGGGCAGATCTTGCCTTTGCATTTTGCCAAGGGATGTTATAGGACTTCTTGCCTTTTTGCCAACTAATGGGTTTTCCGTATTAAACCACCAAAAGTTAGTCACTTTTGGCCGGGCTTCGCAGATTTCGCAACCATTGCACAGGAGCTGGTGAACTTCCTGCGCCGCCCTGGCCGCAAGAAGTCCCCCGAATCGCTTCGCTCCCGCGGGGCGGAGCAACTTGCGGGGGATGCGTTGGGCAACTCGCAGCCCTGCGTGTGGAAAACAACGAAGCAATGAAGGGAAGGGAAGATTGAGGGAAACTCGCCATAGAACATACCTAAGCTGCAAATCAAGGGATCCAAGGTCAAAGATGAAAGCCTTCAAACCAAAAATGGGCGAAGCTTCTTGCCTCGCACAAAGTGCATCCTCAAAAGTGGATCCGCGCAAAAGTGGTCTTTTTCCCCCAGCCCAGAGGCTCCAATTCGATTGATTTAGGGCCTTACGACCTGGTTTTGAGACCCCAACCACCAATTCCCCGGGGTGGTTAATGCTTTGGGTCGCGTCTTCCAATGAAAGGCCCAGTCTCTGGGCAGCGCGGATCCGCGCCGGTCCCAGAAGTCTCCGCAGTCTCCGAGGCTTGGGCGTGCTTGTGCCCACCGAGGACTTCGAAGGCACCTGCGAGGCAGCTCGTCCTCTTTTTTTTTTTGGGGGGGTTGGAGGCAAAACAGGTAACACGCTTTTGCGTTTTGTATGGGGTTTCGTTGCTTGGAGGCAACAAATGGTACCGTACCCTTTTTGTTGTTGCGTTTTCAAAGTGAAACAAGGAACACCGCAATTCGTTTTGTGCTTGTTTACGGGGAAGTGAAGCACCGCAACTTTTGGCGAGTCAACTACACAAAGGGACACTCACTTGAGCATGGCTCGTGGTCGACCTAGCATGGATGCCTTTTCCGGTATTCCTATCAAACGAGAACCGGTTCCTCAACGCTGTAACAGCTGATTTGTGAGACCCATTCACGGAAAGCAAGCCCCCCACTTCAATTATTCTTCTTAAGGCTCTCGATGATTTTCGAGCCCAGCGTTGCTTTCTTTTCCGGGCCCCTGGAGAATTGGTCCGGGTTCTTTATTGGGGCCCTTTTGGGGACTGCATTGGAGGGGTCATGAGCCTTAGGGTGGATGTTTTGGACAACAACCGCCACTTGGGTTTGTTCACCTCACGAGGGCTAATCCTACATTCACAACTACCTACGCTACCTAGATCCCCAGTTGCCTCTATTTTCCAGCTACTTTTGCTAAATTTCGGGCTACTAGTGGGTAAAGTGGTTATTGGGTTGGATCCCACATTCACTTGATTGGTATTGGGTTGGATCTTTAGACTTTAACTTTTTGGGAAATCAAGGGGCTTTCCATGAAACCCACAAAAAGTTATTCACTTTTTGCAGAGGGGGTCGTTTCAACAACCACGTGCTTAAGAATAGTTTTTAGAATTATTTAGTTTCCCTTGTTGGTTTTAAAATGAATTTATCACTACTTGTGCTTTTCCTGGAACCTCAATCAAATGGAAGTAGGATACGTCCACCGTTTTCGGCGTAAGTGGGAAGGCCTTCTTCGGCACCTGGACCTTTGAAGAGGCCTTCCAGCGCACCAAGCGCCCGGCCGCTTCGACGCAGAAAAAGGAACAAAATGAGACGGAGTGCAGCTACGACCCTCAAACTACCCTTAGAAATGGGTGATTGCCACAAAATGATGGGTGAATTCAGCATGTTTCACCAAGATTATGGGTGATCTCAACCATTTTAAAGGGTCGTTTAAGGGTCTAGCTAGCCCCGAAAGCTCCAAATACCATCGCTGTTTCTAGTTGTTTTTTGAACAGCCGAGCGGTTTTCCATGGTAGACGCCAAACCTTTTTGAGTAAAGGGTTGACTGTTCCGCGGCCCGGACTCGCTGCGTAAGAGGGAGCCTTTCCGAGCTACCGAAATAAAGTACATGTTCGGCCGGGTTTCCTTTCTTATAGTTTGTGAGATCTCGGTTTGGGGAGGTCAACATGGCACCATTGAGTGGGTTCCGGGTTTTTGTTGCAGCTTGTTTGATTGTCTTTGTTCAGCTTCTTGCTGGTTCTCAGGGCTTGGGATTGAACCAATGCAAATCTACTGTGGATGGTTCATGATGCTCTTAGGCGGCATTCCCTTCTTCCCTGCCTATCGGACCAGCAACTTGCTGCGCAACTTGCTGTTATGGTTTTGATTGCCAAGTCTCAATGAACCCCCAATTGGTGGATTGGTGGCTTGGGGATTTGCAACCCTGGTTCTTGTGGAGGCTTAATGGGAAACTGCCGCAAACCTCCAAACCAAACCAAACCAATTCAGCATGCAGAGGGAAGCTGAGATGAACAACAGCACCCGAACACCAGCTGATTAGAGCATGAACCTTGCATGCATCCTTTGAACAACCCTGCTTTTTGCATTCATTCATGCTGAGATTTCGTTGCTTGGAACATGTAGATTTTGTTGGGAAGCTCAACCCTGTAGAGTGTAAATGGGAAACCTTCCCAAACCGCCTCCAAGCCAAACGAAACCAGCATGCAGAGGAAGCTGAGCCCAAAGGTTGCTTGCGGAACCCAAAGCTTTTTGCACTCATTTTGAGATCATTTTCCTTTGACCATGTGGCTTTCGGTAGATGATGGGAAAACCTCCAAAGCAAACTCTCATGCAGCGGGAAGCTGCAACTCATTGCATCGAGACCAAAGGTGACCATTGTGATCTCCTCGAACTTCTCCCGGAAGCTCCCGGCCTGCGCGGCCTGGCGAGAGGAATCTGATCCAATATTGGCGGCAAAGGAAGCTAAGCAGCTAAAGGTGTTGCCAGCTTTTTCGTTGGTGGCTATAAGCTTCTTGGTTCCCAGCCTTAGGTCTTGTTAGCTTTGTCGTTGGTTTGGTGGTACTTCTCACATGTTCTAGGGGACGCATCCGCAAATAGATTTGAAACCCCATGCTTTCATGCTGTTGATGCTCTGTAGACCCAGGAATCCCCTGAAAGGAAGTTCCCTAAACCATAGGGGTCGTTCCCTCATTCCCTGCTGAGAATGTGGTTCTTCAGGGGAAGCCCAAAAACAATTATTTGGGAAGGACCCCCCCAAAACACAGACACACCGAAACGATCAAGCATGTTCTCTCTACGTGAATGGAGCATGAGAAAAAGCAACTCGCTAATGCAATAGGTTGAGAAACCGTACTGTGGATGGACGAAATTCTGCACCACTGAGAAACCCTACGAAACCATCGGTGGTTGGTATTTATACAGGGGATTCATCATTCCAGGGTTTCTTTGGTTGTGCGAAATGGATTTCGTCCATCCACAGTAGGGGTCGTTCCCTCATTCCCTGCTGAGAACCAGCGACACTTCCAGGCGAGCCACACTCAACGCCCGGGTGATGAAGGTTAGCAAGGGACAATCCCAAGCATAAAATGCTGCCGCCGCGTTCTTAGTTCTTTACATTTCTTTGTGTCGACCATTTTAATTCCGAGTTTTTGGTGCAAGTGACTCAAATGGAATGACCCCACCATCCAACTGGTTTCGTTTCACGGGAAACGGTTCGACCCACAAGCAGCGAGGCGTCCCCTTAACTAACGGAAACCATAAACCATAGGGGTCGTTCCCTCAATCCCTGCTGTCTAAGGTTTTGTTATTGTTCTTTTGGTATTACACCCTGGGAATACACCCAGTCCCAGGGTGCCAAAAACAGAAAAAAGTAAACACTACACTCAGATGCTGAGAACCTGCGAGAACCAGCTAAAACTCATTCCCTGCTGAGAACCAGCGAGTTTTCCAGGTGATGCTGAACCACATGACCACCCCACGGGTCACCATCGCCAGCGCGGTGGCTGCCAGCTGCGCCGCCCTCGGGGTGATGAAGCCCAGGGGACTGGTGGCACCTGGGCCGCAGATTTTGAACTCGGGCCAGAGACTTCCCGAGGTCAGTTTTTGTTTTTTTCTTTCGTTTTTGTTTCTTCTTCCTTTTTCTCGTTTTTGTGTTCCTTTGTTTCCCGGTTTTGTTTTTTGTTCTTTCTTTGTTTCCCCTGTTGCGCATTACAAGAGTCGCACATCTTGCTGCTTCTACCGGGGATGTTCGAGGAATTTGGTAATGCACTTGAAGAGCTGTTTCACATGGATCATGCCCTGGTTCCCTGTCTATGGAAGCCGGACATGTTGTCCAACACCTACCCTCCTACCAATTAACATGGAACCTGACAGGGGAGTCCTGGAAGACCATTTTCTCTTTCAAGGGGTCGGGTCCCGAACGTCAGGTTCCATGTGAACTGGTGGGAGGGTGAATCTTCAAAACAAAGGATGATCACAATCCTCAGGTGAACTTAAAACCATTTTTTCCTTGAGCCGCAGCAAGATCATCTTGACGCGATAATTAGGTCAAGTCGGCGGACGGGCGGTTGGAGCCCTACAACGTGCTGGGCTCCTCCTTCGCCGATGGCTCCTTCACTGCGGAGGTGCCTAAGGCCCAATCGGTGGCTTCGAGCGCTCGAGCGCTCGATCGAACGGCGTCGAGTTCAGGGGCGTCGCTTGGCTTTTGGTGGGGGCGAAAGGGCGGCCGGCCCGTGGTCTTTTCGGGTGTTTTTGTTGGGGGTCAAAAGGGAAACCGAAGGAGAAACTTGGGGCCAGTGTTGATTTTGGGGGTCCGAGTCTTAAACACTCCCATGTCCTTTTTTCATGGTTGTTGTTGGGAAACATTTTTCGCATTTTTGCTTATAACTTATTGTGGTTTAGTGGTTGGTATCCAAATCCACTTGAGTGCTAAAATTTGAGAATTTTTGCTCCCCAAACCCAACGTCAACCAAGTTTTGGGAAGGTGGGAAATTTAAACCCGACCCTCGGACGTGATGGGGTCTTCCATTGAAAGCCCCAGCCTCTGGACAGACCAAAAGCTGGGGCAGTTGGAGTAGGAGCTTTTTTCCTGGATTCTATAACCATGTTTTGGTTTTGGATTTGGAGCCTAAAATCCTGCACCACTTGGAAACCATGGTTGAAGCCATTGTCCATTAATGGTGTACAGACCCCATCCACTACTCCCCCCCCCCAACAACAACTGCTTTTTCCCATGTCCAAAATTCCCTTGGTACGGCAACCAACAAGCTGTGGTTGGGCCCCGCAATGCGCCCGAAATGAGATGCCAATACTGATTTTCCTCCATTGTTGGGATCCGATCCCATCGATCTAAGGCGTTTGGCCCGATTCCAAGAACTCGTTTGAACAAAAAGCGGCCAGGACTACCTGCGCTCGGTCTTCGGCGCCACACGTTTCCTGGTCTCCCAGGTCGGCCTCTAGGGCCACAGGTCTTGGCTGGGCAGAACAGAGCGTCAGAACTGGTTTTTGGGAGATGGGTGTGCAACGGCCCGGGTTTCCTTTTGGTTTCCCTTTAAAAACTAGCCAGCAAAACGGTACCCCGAAAAGCGCACACCCAGATGGGGGTGTCCCAATTCTTTTTGAGTGGATTCAGACCGTTATTTTTTGGGAGCGTCTATTAGTCCGGGGTCAACTTACTTCAAATACACCGCGTGTTTAAGGGTACTCTTTTGGCAAACCTTTTTTTCCTGAGTAAATACGGAGCTTTCTGAGTCAAGGATTGAAATCATACTCTATCATACCCTGTAAAAATAGGTATTGGGTGTAGGGGGTATTAGTAGCAATTGTGAACCAACTGACCCGGTTGATCCGAGCTACCACTATAGTAGCCAGGCCCTTGGTTACCTACAAAAGCAGGGGACACATAACAATTTGCTGGGGATTGCAAAGCCTATATCCACCTCAACATTTTTTGCTGCTCACAAGCTGATGTCGCTGGTGATGCTTGCAGGACTTCTCTGTTCAGATCCTCTAAATGGGAAGCCCCCCTGCCCCCCTCTATTGTTTAGAAGGGGTTCTAAATGTTGAGATCATTCGGCTGGGATTTCCGAAAATACGTGGAGACCCAAAGTAGGGCATGTATTGTTGGCCGCATGGTGATTTGGGTTCCCAGCCTTCCCCCGAGGTTATTAGATACTTTTAGCGTTTAGTGGTTGGTTTTGCGTATTGCACCCACTAAAAGTTGAACTTTTAGCAAGGGATCTGAAAACGGACAGCCCAGCTGAGTTGTCTTTTGAACTGTTGGCTCCTTCTATCGGAGGCATGAGGCGTTTTCTCATCGTTCCTGAACAACCAGTCCAGTGAGAAACCGGACCTGCCGTAAGAAACAGCTGCCCGAAACGCATGTTGAACGGAGGCGATCCCAGGTTTCCCAAAAGAAACCAAACTTCCGTGTCCTTACGCCTCGTTGGGTGCCCAGATAGCCACAAAGTTGGAGCCTATTAGAAGTAGATTATTACCAGGAATATAGGTGGGACAACTGGGTGTGACCTACTTGCGTTGGGCATCCATGTTGCAAAGCGTCGTGAGTACGTGAATGCTCTCCCCAAAAAGCTTGGTGTGCGCGCATGTGCGTGTGTGTGTGTGTGTGTGTGTGTGTGTGTTGTGTGTTGTGTGTTGTGTGTGTGTGTGCGCGTGCGTGCGTGTGTGTGTGTGTGTGGGCGGGGGAGGGGTTGTGGGTGTGCGTGTGCCTGGGCCCTCAAACTTCCAGAGCAAGGGAATTCACTTTGAATCTGTTGCCTGTCAACACGGTTTTCCCAACCAACAACCTGGTTTTACCTTTTAGACCCTTAAACTAAACAGGGTCTTGGAGTAGAGGGGAACTTAGTAACTTTGGTAACTTTGGCCTTCCGAGTCTCCAGGTGAACCCGCACGTCTCGTCCTTCCTGGAGGTGAAGGGTGGGGTGCTGCACAGCTTGAGGGCCTTCTTTGGCACCGACCTGCAGCAGAGAGCTCGGAGACTCGGCCCGGGCCCATGCTGTGGACGGACGATTCGCCCATTTCGCACCACCGCAATCAGAAACCCTGGGCTCAGTTGTTCAGTGGCTCCCTTTTTCCCATTTTTTTGGTGGCTGCCCCACTTAAATGGTCTTCCCAAAAAAGGGTTCCCTTTTTTTTCTCCATGGTCACTGAACAACTGAGTGGAATGATGATTCCGCTGCACATGCCAACAAAGAAAGGTTTCAACCACGTTTTTCGAGGTGGTGCAGGATTTTGTCCATCCACAGGGGCAATCGATTAGCCCTGTGAGAGAACCCGCAAAAGCTTCATGGTTGTAAGTCTGCGTCCAATGGGTTAGAACCCACAAAAGCGATTCATGGTGAATGACAAGTCTCGGTTCTGTAGGTTATAAACTCGGCTTACTAGCCACTTACCTACGCTGTCCTTAATTAAGGCCCAAGACAACGTGGCCATGAAATCGCATACTCTCAGAAGTGATGGAGGAAGCAAACTTGAAATATAATTTATTTAACAAAGAAGAAGGTTTAAGGGGCCTGTGGCGCCAGCAGATAGGGGGGAGGTCATGGGCTCAAATCCCGTCAGGCTCGCTGTTCTGCGAGTCCGAACCGATGCCTTTTTGGACGCTCAGTTCTAAGTTACCTGGATCACCAGTTGCTGTTTTTTACCATGAACTTTGGAAAAAAACAACTTGGCAGACCCACCAAGGCGTACACCTGCATGATCAGGGTGCCCGCACTCTTAAAGGCCAAGTCCTCCAAAAGCCAAATTTCCATGGCAAAACCGTGAGTAGCAAAGGAGGAACCAACTAAAACAAGTGGGCCCGGTTTGCTGGGCAGTGAGATGGTTTAATCGGGCAATATTGGGCCAAGCATGATGCGCTGGGGGTTTTGGCTGAGCCCTCGTCCAGGGAGGCGCAAAAAATCGGGGGTTCTCAGATTTCCGGTTTGTCGGACGTCTCGACCCCAACTTTTGGGACGAATAAGGGTTACCCTAGAATCCTGGTTGGTGGATTCCCCTCAAAAAGGGTCATTTGAGGGTCCAGGTAATCAGCAAGAAGCATTTTTTGCCACAGGGTGGCGCTCACCGTGCAGCCCCATGCAAGCTAACATGGAGCCTGGGGGTCCCAAAAGCAGATTCCTCCGCAAGTTGTTTACTTTTGTTTCAATCAGCCAGGTTTTGAGACCCCGAAACTCCCATTCAATGGAGGGTCTTCCATTGGAAGGTCCAGGGCAATTTGAGGGTGGCCTGAGGAGCTCCAAGGCTATGCAGGCCCCACAAGGGGCCCTCCAATGAGGGCCCCGGACCAATTTGTCAGGGGCCCGGAAAGAGAACAACCCACCGTCTCACCTGGGCCCAAAATTATTTAGAGCCTTAGGGTCGGTCACTCATAACCCGCGTCGGGTCGAAGGATGCTCTCCGAGTACAACTTGCTGCCCTCCTTCTTTGGTCGGGCCATGTGCCAGGCGTGGTGGGAGTCGAGAAATCCACTCACCCCGTGGCTTGCTGTGACACTAGCCACGAGTTCTGGACACGGACAAAAAGTCACTTTCTGGGACTTGGGATGGCCATTTTAGTGGTAAACAACAAAAGTGTGGGGACTTTTTCTGGCCAATCCACTCGATCGGAAGTGAGTCTTTGTGTTTCGAAAAATGACCAGACTCTAGCCCCCAATAACAGGGGATCCAAAAGGAGTTTTGAATGGACACATAGGTGTTTCAAGGTGTGTCCCTTGGCTTGAAAACTGGGTCGATAGGCCCAGAGAAGGACCGCTCAGCCAGCCAACCACGGGAACGCTTTTTTGTTTTTGTGTGTGTGTTTTTGGTTTGAAGCATTCCCACTGACCCACAACAAGTTGAGAACTTTTGGTGCGGCGGGTCATTGCTTCAAGCAAGTGTGATTCTGTTCAATTTTCTGGATCAACTTCTGGGACCATCCGAGACATCTCTTTGCTCCCATAAGAACAACGAGAAGACTTGAATCCAAGGTTTGGGGCGGAGCGTTGATCAATTTACCCAAGACGCGCTGAGCTTAGTTGGTATGTCAAGCCTCTAAAGAAGGTATATCCTGCAAAGCCGATCGGTTCTTCAACAAATACCAACTAAACGAACTAGCGAAAGCGTAGGAGTAGAGGGCTTAAGAAGCGGCCACCGGCCGAGAACAAAACCATCGATTTGTGTTTAGAAAAAAAAGCAGCCATGGGGAAATTCCGATGGGCTCCTCAAAAGGTCGATACAATTTGCCACCATTTGAATCATTTTGCTTTTTCAGCACCAAAATAAAGTTGGAAACCACCATTTACAAGTTGCAAGGTTCAGGTGTATAATGCATCCGGATCCCTGTTCTACATGGCTTACCTCTACAACCATGCCAGTAGAACCAACTGGGTGTTGTGTCAAACAGGGCGGAAGGGAAGGGAAGGCAACTTCGGTGCGTAGGCGACGAAGCACTTGTCCCAGGACTTTCAGGAGAACCGCCGGGGCCGGCCCTGCAAATGGGGCTGTGCTCTTCTTTTTTTTTGTTGTTTGGGTGACCAAGGGATGTTCCCGGGTTCATGGACTTGAGTCGCCTTTTTGGGGTCCAAGACCATTTCTCACTTCCTGGGTTCCGTTTCGGACTTTAGTCACCTTTTGGGAAGACCATGTTAGCAGCCAAGAAGTTTGGGACTTTTTGGGGCCAATTCACTCAGGAAGTGAGATTCCAGTGGCAAACAAGCAGCTTGATGACCTTTTCGGCGCGGACGTTCACTATTTCAAGGGAAGCCACCTAGCGAAAAAATGGGTCCCCCAAAACTGCCACATACCCTATTCCAGGTTCGTTGCTCAACATAATGTGCGGATTTGCTTATGGTCAGAGTCCAAAACTGGGGTCTCCTCCGAAACAATTTTACATCCAGGAAGCTTTGCTCCTGGATTTCAGGGGAGTCCACTAAGCTGGGGATCTCGGATGGGGATCAAGAATCAGGCACCCTCCCTCCCGCTAATATAGTTGCTATTTTTTGAGGAAAGCGGGAAGATCAATTATAATTGCCTTTTTAAGGGACCCTCTGTCTGGTGCCATGGTAACGTGGGGAGGGGTAAACGGGAATTCCAAGACACCAATCCTCCAACCACCGATTCGGCCAACCAAACCAATCCACCACCCCAGAAGACTAATCCCAGCCCCAAAAGACCGCCAACAAGACCACCAAAACCCCACCCCCTCGAACTTCGACGAAAACCACACGGCGATTTGTCCCCCCCCCACCCAAAAACCAGCCCCGCACCCCCCCAAAACCCACCCCATTCATTGCCACGCACCGGCCACGCGGGAGATGTATTTCTCCAGCCCACGCGCTGCGCGCGCGTCGCGGCCCACGAGGAGTCCAAGAGCGGCCTCACGGTGCACCCGCCGCTCCGCGAGGGCGGCCTCGGCTCCGTGAAGGCGGCGGTGACCAACCCCTCCTTCCGCGACATGGCGCCTCGGGCGATGGGGGACTCGGGCGAATCGAATATTGCGACCAGGGGACATAGAAAATCTGTCTTTTTGTTGTTTGTTCTTATGCTTCTTCTTTTTGGCTCTTTGTCTTCACCTTGGTTTCGTCTCTTAGTGATTGTTTCAGCTCGGTGCCCGCCTTTTTCGCTTGAAAAACACGTCCCTCGAGGTGGGCGGTATTTTCTCAACTCAGCTGTATATTAGCGAACATGTTGCGTGATCCCTCGATTTGTCCACCTGTCCTGGTGAATGCACCCCACGAAAAGCGGACACCCCTTTGTTAAACAACCATGGTTCATAAAATCCGAGGTTCCCAGCGCATCACTTGTCTTGCTGGTGCTCACTAGGGAACCAGCGTGTTTTGGGCAACCGGGGGATGCCCTTCAAGGAAACCCACTTGTGGGACGGGTGTTTCTCGGAGTCAGACGCCACGTCTCATTCCCTGCCTATCGCACCGGGAAGTTGTCCCTAGGGTTACATCCCCATCAGAAGAATATGGAGCCATATTATGGTTGATCCAATTTGGATGATGAAGCTGCTTAGGTACACAAAGGGTGGTTATATTCACCCCCTTTGCTTTTAAGGGTGGTTTGAACAGGCTTGTTGCTCAGCGGGAACCCCCTCGCGGCGAATTTGTGAAAATCGCCCCCGAGGAGCGCTACCTCCTGTCTGGCCAGCGGATGGCATGGGAAAAGGCCCACGAGATCCGGAAGATGATGTTGCTGGAGGCGGGCAACGGGGGAAGTCGCGGGCGTCAAACAAGAAGTTACTTTTTTTGCAAACCCACTCAGGAAGTAGGGTAATGTGTAATTTGTCTGTTTTTGTCCAAACTCCCTACTTGGCGCCCAGCAAGGGAGCCGTTCCGGAGCTGGGCAGCTGGGGTATCTGGATTTGCCCAAGAGGAATCGAGCTAAGCTGGCAGGAGCTCGGCGGGGACAATTTGGGATGACTTTCAAATTGGGTGCCAAAAAGCCTAGCTCCCCTTTTACCAACTTTTGTGGGGGAGGGTTCTCCTACTAAAATAGACTACAGACAAGAGTGGGTACCCTTTTTCTAACCTCTCTACCGGAGGACCTAGTAGCAATGTGGGAGCCGTAGCTTTTTAAGGAGGGGCCCTTTTCAGGCTGGCTGAAAGGGAAACCTACTTGGACATCACTTTTTTAGGTGTCCCCTACACCCTACTCCAAATACCCGCTTTTTGCAAGGTATGTTTGGTTCAAAACCGATCGGTTTCCCACGGTAAATACCGATCCCTTTTTTAGTAGAGGGTCGACAAATCATACCAACTGAAAAAGGGCGGGTATTGGGTGGTCACGGGGGTACTTGGACACACACACACACACACACCCACTCACTTCCTGAGTTCATGAACTCTAAGCTTTTGGGGAAGACCATGTTAGCGGTAAATATAAAGTTTTTACTTTTTTGGGGCCATCCACTCAACCAGTGAGCCCTGCGTTTTTTTTTTCTGTGAGAATTCCTCAGAGCTTTGGGGCCCTCGGGTTTCACCAGGCTGCAGTGACTCGGATCCTGGATCAGCTGGTTTCCGGGCCCAGCCCGGAGCCCATGTGCCCGGAGCCCTGGGCGCCACGAAGTCGGGGGACGGGACGGATCCCGTGCTGATGGACGAAATCCAATTCGCACCACTTGGACGAAATCCAGGGGACAAGATGGTTTGCTGGCATGTACCGGAAAATCATCGTTCCAGGATTTCGTCCATCCACAGTACCAATGCGCCCTTTCCCCCTTTAAGGAACATCATGACCATAGGTGTCCTTTCTGGTTGGTTTGCTTAAAACATAGGGGGCGATTCCTGGTTTACCTGGTGGTTCAATCATCTACCAGGGCCATCTATTTTCCCAAAAAGGACACCTATGGTCATGACCCTCACTTATCCAAAGCGAATCGACTTTTGAACCTTTTGGTTTGCCCACATATGGCGTCCCCCCACTTTTAGTCAAGGCCCCAAAAAGGGTGAACCAAAGCCGACCTTTTATCCTTTTGGTTTTCTCATTTTTTTTTGTGGGGGGTAGAGGTCCCAAAACGGTAGCCTTCTATTCTAGGCCCTTTTGGGACAGTTGAGGACCCCTTATGGGTGGCTCGCTTTTTTCCGAGTTGGGTTGTTTTTAAAGGGACACATATGGGGAAAAACACGCTCTCTTTTTTTGGGGGGGGAGGTGGGTGGGCCTTAAAAAGACACTCCCTTATTTTCCTTGGCTTAAGATTTTTCTCTATTTCCCCCTGTTGATCTTAAAGGGAATCAATCACTACTGGGACTTTTTTTTTGTTCAGGGGGCTTAAGCAAAACGAGATGTATTTTGAGTAGACTTCCATTCTTTAAGGGTGATTGCCATGTATGGTAGTTGCATCCAGCGCGATGCAAACAATAGGATCCGGGAGCCGTTGCGGAACGGGGTTTGTCGCACAACGGAGCTCAACATTGGCGGGGAGTTCCTATTGGTTTCCGTCGGCAACAGCCCAACAAGATGATACCCTTCAAAAATGGTATCCCCCAAACAAATGTTACGTACCCCTCAAGAAGACATGTACCCTCCAACAAAATGGTTCCCCCCCCGCCAAAAAAAAAACTACTCAAACAACAGGGCACCCTCCAAAAAAATGGTACCCTCAATAACATGTCCCCCCACACAAAAAATATGACAGAAACAACCAAAAACAACCTAAAGTCTCAAAAGAGAGGCACCCTCCAAACACTTCCCAAAAAGACCCCCCCCCCCTCCCAGAATAGAAAGAAGAAGAAAATCAACAGAAACGAATAAAAAGAAGAAGACAATCAACGGAAACGAATAAAAAGAAGAAGACAATCAACGGAAACGAATAAAAAGAAGAAGAAAATCAACAGAAACGAATAAAAAGAAGAAGACAATCAACGGAAACGAATAAAAAGAAGAAGACAATCAACGGAAACGAATAAAAAGAAGAAGACAATCAACGGAAACGAATAAAAAGAAGAAGACAATCAACGGAAACGAATAAAAGAAGAAGACAATCAACGGAAACGAATAAAAAGAAGAAGAAAATCAACGGAAACGAATAAAAAGAAGAAGAAAATCAACGGAAACGAATAAAAAGAAGAAGACAATCAACGGAAACGAATAAAAAGAAAAAGAAAATCAACGGAAACGAATAAAAAGAAGAAGAAAATCAACGGAAACGAATAAAAAGAAGAAGACAATCAACGGAAACGAATAAAAAGAAGAAGAAAATCAACGGAAACGAATAAAAAGAAGAAGAAAATCAACGGAAAATCTACTCAACAGACAGGGCACCCTCCAAGACGCCACCTCGGCGTCGGATCCCCCGCCCCGAGTCTGTGATCAATCTCCGAGGCCCCTGCCAACCGCCGGAGGCGCCGATCGGAGCAAATTTCCGAGACGGTGGCGTTGGTCGTGGCTCCCCGTATTCTGACACCAAGCACAAAGTTGCAAAGGGACCCCTGAAAAACGACAGGTGTGAGTTGGGCTGCTTTTCTGTTTTGCCGCGGCTTTGGAAAGGGAAGCCTCGAAAAGGACAACGGTGTGGTTTTGCCCTAGTGTCCCAAGATACTATTTGAGGTCTTTGGGGGGCCACAGGCCTTCATATGTAGGGTCTTGGGCTCCTAGAGGTATGTGTATATTTTGTATATATATATATACATATATGTATATATTCACATAGTAGGACCCCTCCCCCAATACCAATATTTTCCTGCTCAAGGATGTTACATGGTGCAGTGTTGTGGGTATCGAAAGTGTTTTTTTTTTTGAGGATAACCTGGAGTTCAGTTAGCGCATATGTTTGTTCATAAATGTACTATGTATATATATTTATATATATATATATATTCATGCGTTTCTTTTTCGTAGTGCAATTCGACACCTTCCGCCCTCTTGGAAAAGCCCATTTTGAGTGAGCTTCCCTTTGGCTTGGCGATCTTGTCCATGTTTGGGGCCCCGAACCGCAAAAATAAGGAGACCCTTAAACTGGATTCCTGGACCCTCAAACCTCCAGTTGCTTTTCAGAGGATTTTTTTCCCCTGTGGTGTTAAAGGGAATCGATGTTACTATTGTGTCTGTTTCGGGGGCGAATAAGCAAACGGAAGCAAACTACCCCTTAAACAAAATGAAGGACATCACCAACCATACATTCGGGGCAACAAAAACATGTTTAACGGGTAGTTTGAGGGTTCAGGTTGTCCATTTAACCTGCAGAAGGTCTGAGGACCTTTTGCTCAGTGGAGCAACCCAGGTGATGTTTCAACATTTTCAGCACGCTCCACTTGCAAAAGGCCCTCTTCGAGAGGTTGTTGTTTTTTTTGATATTCAGTGCTTCCCAGGCTTCCCTTTACTCCACTTAGCCCTACGTTTCGGTATTTCTACCAGGTATCCTTCCACATGGAAGCGCACAAAGCCTCCTAAGAGGGAAGTAGTCTTTGTACAGGGGTCTGCGCATTTCCATGTTAGTGGGAAGGTAAACCATGACCCCCTACTCCAAATACCCGCTAATTTTCGGGTAGGATGTCGGCCGTCTACGAAAAAAGCAGGTATTCACCATGGAAAACCGATCGGTGTTCCCAAACAATACCCGGAGAAAAGAGCGGGTATTTTGAGGTTACGGGGGGGCTACTTACCGATTTTCAACGCAAGGATCGGTTCCGCACGGAAGCCGATGAAGCCGCCTTTGGCTTCCATGGGCCTTAAAAATGCGCCGAACATGGGACTTGGGAAGCCAGCTCCACACCCTCGAATTCGTCAAGGTGGCTCTGGCGAGGAAAGGAATAGCATGGTTGTTGTTTGGACACGTTTTACATTTTGCTTCCTGTGGTTTAGTGGTCGAAATCCAACCACTTAACAGCTAGTAAAAACAAAATAAACACATGTTGCTACCCTTCAAACGTCAACCAAGATAACCTGGATCGCCAGGTGCTTTTTTCGTTTGTTGTTCATGTTGTTTTACCCAAAAACAAACCGCAGCAGTGACTGAAAAAAGCGATCGCAACTTGGCTATCTAGGAAGGGAAACAGAAAAACAAGTAATTTTGCAAGTTGGTTTTGTAGTTGGTTTTGTAGTTGCTTTACTTGCTTTACAGCACGCAGGGCACAATTCGCTCTTTATGTGGGGAAGTAGGGTGACTAAAACAAAAAGCGACGCGCCAGTCAATGTCACCTATAGGAGCACAAAACGCCATACCACGTGCCGAACAGCTTGCTGTTGGAATTCTGGCACGCTCCTGGAATCCAGTCTAGGGTGGCTCTATTTCGCCCTTTCGTTGGAACTTCAGATGAAGTTTCTTTTGGGGCGATGTTTTACTTGCTGGTTCGATAGGCAGGGAATGAGTGACCCCGAGAAAAACAATCCCCTACTTTTGATTCCCAAAACCCGGAAGGTCATTCTCTACTGAGCACCGGCAAGTCAAAGAGGAAAGCTTTTGGCCCTGCCCTTGTTTCCTTCCTTCTTTCCTTCCTTCCTTCCTTCCTTCCTTCCTTCCTTCCTTCCTTCCTTCCTGCCAACCTATCTTGGTGGTTCCCAGCCATCCCCTTAGCTTTTTAGACTTTTAGGGTTTAGTGGGGGTTTCCATTAACCCCACTAAACGTTAAACACTTCGCAGTGGATCTAAGGACAGCCCAGCTATAATACATATATATATATATATATGTTCGTAGGGCTTTGGGCACCGTCCACGGGTCAGGGCGCGGAATCCCGCCTCCGGGAGCAAAAGGGCGCGATGTGAATCGGAGGTCCTGACCTGGACCCTCAAGGAAAACTCACTTCCCAGACGCTCCGATCGGCTTCGGCTTCCAATGGAAGACCCAGACCCTCCATCTGACACAGAGGGGTTTTGGGGTCTCAATACCTGGCTCTTTGAGGGCCCCACAATACATCGGGAGCGTCTGGGATCCTGAGTTCTTGCAGTTAGTGCCGACTTTGTCACAGAGTCCTGAGCCAAGAGTGCTCCTAATTTAGGACCTGTGGGAGAGCACTTGGGATAGAGAGAGAGAGGGTTCCTGGATTAGGTTTGGACGTGTTTGGACCATTTTAGTGTCATTGTTTTCAAACATGGGTAACTGTTTTTGTCCAATTCACTCAGGAAGTGAGAAAGAGGGGGACATCGCTCCAGAATGGTTGGTTTCCCCTTGTTTTGTTTCCTATTCTCAGATGTTCCCCATTAAGTTTTAACCGAGCTTCCTTCCTTTCAAACAAATCTCTGGCCAGCCAGCTTTGGTCACAGCTCACCCGCTGGCGACTGGCAAAAGTGGCCAGCGAGCCAGCGATGAGCGAGCGACTTGCTGCTCCGCGCAGCGGTGTTTTCGTTGCGCGACGGTCCTTTTTTGCAAGCAGTAATTCATGCTGTGCATGGGCCAGCATTTGCCTACCCTGCGATATTTGTTTCGATCAGAGCACTGCAGATCTCACTCCCCTGAGTTCTTTGAACGTTTTGGGCTTGGACCATTTAGTGGCAAGCACAAAACTTTGGTTGCTCTTTGGTGGCCAATCCACTCGACCGCAGGTGAGACATGTACTGGAATGAAAGAACACATGTTTTGAAGGCCAAAAGGTAGTTCACGCGTCGTGTTCGACATGAGCAACGTACCCCTACACCCAAATAGCCGTTGTTTTTTAGGTATGATGTCGACTCTTTACCGAAACAGGAGGTAATGATTTATCCTAGAAAACACATTTTGTCCAAAGAAAAAATGGAGAAGGGGGTACCATATTGCCAGGGTATCGGTGTTGGATTGCAACATCCTTTTTTTTTCTCGTGGTAGTATCATCAGCTGGTCATATGCGCAACGTGGTGGAACCCTTAAAGAAAGAGTTCAGACAACCCCCAATTGGTGATTTGAATTGGTTTAGGGCTTTGAACCCTTGGTTCTTGCAGAGGGGAAACTGGACAGATAGGAAACTACCCCCTAATCACCGAACCACCGGGCTCCAAACCACCAAATAAAAAGGAAGCTGCTGATAGAGTCACTTACAGCTGGGTGCCAGGTTCGGAGACGAAGATGACAAGCCCAAGGATCAAGCCGAGTGCATTGCAGTTGCCACAGGTAACCAGGGCTCCTGACCTCCACCCCCAACTCCAAAATTGTTGTTACTTCCATGTGCTTAAGAACGGCTAATATTTCCCCGGTTTTAAAGGGAATCTACCACTACTCGACTTTTCCCAATCGAACTTATGCAAATGGAGGCTTTTAACGGGTTTTTTTGAAACCCTGACTTTCTAAGGTGAATACCTCCTTTTTTGGGACAGGGTGACATCATACCCTTAGCAAAAATGGGCTTTGGGTGTAGGGAGTGTAGGGGGTAGGTTTCACATGATGGTTGTCCCTTTGGCGAGCCCAATGGCGAACCCCCTGAAAGATCCTTGCTGCACCTAGTAGGCGCTGTAAGGTTGTCATCGCTTCCCTTGCTATGGCATTATGGGTCTGAATCTGTACTTTTTTGGGACTACCCTTTTGACACTTGGTTTCAAGCGAACCAACGTAGAAAGATCTCGCCCTTTTCGACGCATGCCCATGGGCTTGCTGCCAAAGCCGTGCCGCTGGTCGAAGGGTAGGCGAGAAGCGTTGCACAGCGCAATCGGGGCCTGGGGCGTTCGGATCAGGCGAAACCGGCGCAACTGGCAAGGGGCCAGTGCGCTGAGTCACGCGCTTATTGTGGTTAGTGGGAAATCCCCACTTAACTGCTACATTGTAAGTCTTTGTTTTTCTGCCAACGTCAACCAAGAGGGGCCAGTGCGCTGAGTCATGGGCTTCTTTTTTGCGGGGGGGGGGGAGTCGTGTCCCAAGTTTGTTTGCGGGATTTTTCGGGATATTTTTGGCGATTGAAAAGGGCGACTTGTGCTTCAGTCCGCTTTAGTCCTGCGTTTCCCTGCCCGGCGACCGAACGCCCGGCCGGCTTTTTGAATCCGTGCAAGGCCTCTCTCTTTTTCCGCACGCAAGGGCGCGTGGGTGAACAAGGAACGCCTGCGTTTGACGCATTTGTCGTGGATCCCTGTGGGTTAGTACTGGGGTGACTATTCTTAAAGCCGTTTCCTGCAGTGGGCTAAGTCAGCATGCAAGTCAGCAACGGCTGTTTCCTTTTTTCCTACCACCTCGGTTGACGGAAAAAATGATGGTGTCAGAATAGGTCTTTTGCCTGTGAGTGCACACTTGGATGACCGGCCTAGGATTGGTGCTGGTTGTTGTTGGGAAAGATTTTACATTTTCGCTTATTGTGGTGTAGTGGTTGAAATCCAACCACTGCTAAAATTTAAATCGTTGCCCCCTTCCAATGTCAACCAAGAAAAGCGGGTTGCAGCGGAAATGGGGCGTTCCGCCACGGAGTGCCTGAATCCGCCCAATGGAGTGATTTGGGCGCGTTGGTTGGCTCATCATTTGTTTGATTTCCCCGGGAAGCCAAAACGTCCATTTGCGTATAAGAAGATGTGTATTATTTTCCCTTGTTGGTTTTAAGGGGGGTCCCTATATTTCCCATTTTTGGCGATTTTAAACATCACCTTTTTGGCCCGTGAAAGGTGAGTGTCCCTTGGTGGGGGTGGTGTTTTAAGGGGAAATCTAGCGAGCCCTGAAAATTTAAGGGGGAATCTATCACCACACAATGTATGTTGATCTTTTCCAGGGGCCCTAAGCTAGAGGAAAAGGGTAAGTTTTAAGTCCAGATCCCATTTAGCACCCGAGCCATCCCTTACGCCCAGAATGCAAGGATACCCCCTTTTTGCGAGCGTTCAGCTCTTGGTGCCGGGGTCGAAGAAACAGCTTACCAAGGGATCGAAATTAGCGGTTAATTCTCATGAGGGGCTTGTGTGTTTTTACTGAGTGGTTTCTCAAAAGCTGACTTGACCCAAGCGAATCGACATTTTGACCTTTAGGTTTGTCCTTCTGAGTTTGCATTGTTTGATTTCAATCGGAGACCGCCCAGAAATGCTCAACCTACTTAAGTCCTTACCAACCCCAGGCACACTTATGACGCCTTCAGTCAAACTGTCAGTTAACCTCCTCAAACAAATTCAAAAAATAAAATTCACCCATAGATTTTAGGGCAGTCTCCTATTGTCATGTATATATTTTCAGATCAAGGTATAAAATAAGGGATTCTGGCGGTTATTTAGGGTTAATACATACATGTGACCAACCTGTCTTCTTTTTACTTTTCTATTTAGAGAAAAAAAGAAGAGAGAGAGAAAAAGAGAGAGAGAAACCCATTGCAACTGAGTGGATTCACCTCCCAAGTTCTAGTTGCTTGCCCCGCCTTCGCGACGGTTTCTACCTTGTTTCTCCTCTTCCGCGGGGCTCCGAGGACCATGCCCTGGCGGGTGCAGGAGCTGGAGCCCGAACCTCAGTCCGGGGCATCCCCACATCCTTCTTTCTCTGTTTTTTGGGTTAGCGAGGTCCCCCAGCTAGGTGCCCTTTTACCATTTTTTTTTGGTTGGGAGGGTTCCCCTACTAAAATAGACCACCGAAAAAAGTTGGTACCCTCATTCTAACCTCTCTACTGGAGGACCTAGGTAAGGATTCCCCTTTAAACTCAACCTTACTGTCATGGGCGGGGTGGAGCCCTGGAGGTCTCCGTTTATGGCAACCCATGTTCCCTTTTGTGTGGAATGCAAAAAAATGAAGTTTAGGGTAAGGGGGACAACCCAGCTTGGGGGCGGTGTGGTTCGATCTTTGGACGCTTACCCTACCCACAAACAAATATGTGTTTTGCAGCGGCGTCAGCACTAACCAAGTTAGAGACTCAATTGAGAGCCGACCTTTTAGCCTGGTGGAAGAACTTGATGCAAGGGCTGCCCTTGCGTTCCCAATTGCCACTGTTTTTTTGGTTAGTGTGTCTCAGAATCGACCTTTTGACCTTTTAGTCTCCGCTGATTGGGTACATGTTTAGTCATGTCCTGAATAGGTGTAACCTGAGTTGCTCAAAGGAGCAGAGCAACTCAACTATCGAATGTTATGTTAGGTGACCTACTTCAGAGCATGCTTGTGTCCCTTGAAGTGGTTGATTTGTAGATGTCATGTTGAAGGTCACATAGCTGACGCGGCAAGCATGCGTTTATAATACATATTTATTCCAGCCACACTGACCGGGTGTACACATGCTTTGCGTGTTGACCTGGGTTGTCGCCCACGGGAATCAACATGGTTAGCTCCTAAAGGACAAGGCTGAGCTTGGGTTTCTGCCATTTGGGGGGTTCAACTTTAAAACTCGGCTGTTCAAAGGTATATAATCCTCACTCTTAATTTAGGCTACGCAAGGATTGAAGGCCCCTTTTCTAGTGGTTTCCCTATAGTGATTCTGGATTAAAATTGGCCAACCCTCAGTATAAGACACACCCTAGTTCTAGGTTGCCGACCAGTCCTGCTCCAAGTCTTGACTCTGTCGCTTCAATTTATTGGCAGGTTCCACACGCAGAGCGACTGCAACGCCAAGAGCCCGCAGGGGGTGCCTGTGGCGAGTGGGGAGCTCAGATACTTTGTGCAAACCCACCTTGACTGCTATTGGGTTGGATCTTTAGACTTTAACTTTTTGGGAAATAAAGGTGCTTTCCACTAAACCCCCAAAAAGTTGTCCACTTTTTGCAGGGGGGTCGTTCCAGCAACCAAGCCACCGTTTAACCTTTCTTGGTTCCCAGCCATCCAGTTCCCACTGGTGAACCTTTGGTCGTCCTTTGTCTGGCCGATACTTCTTTATGGCTGTTTGGTTGGATCTTTGGGCTTTGTTGGCAAACAATGGGATTTTCCATTGGACCCCCACGGGTCAAACCGTTTGCAGAGGGGTCAACGGCAACCAAGATTTGGTCC